CTGTCCTAAATAGTTTGACATAAATAAGTTGGTCTCCCATTATGTTGCAACTAAATATAAAGCGAAGTTAGATTCAAGATTAGTTATCAGTCCTCCAGAAACTACAGAGGAACATAAGTTTCACTGAAAAAGCCCTTTTAAGATAATCAATAAAGCCGTTCATATCTTTGACGTGTGTTACTAATAAACAGTAGGTGCCTTTTACTACATACCTGTTTTTCGGGGTGGATAGAGAAAACGGTGGTTTCTGTAATCCATTTAAACGGAACACCACAATACTCACTCAAAGACACGTAAATTAGTCTTGCCGTAAAATCATGTTTGTACAGATATCTTTGCTTTCCAGCTTTGATCCTGGTTGGTCTGAGTAGATGATATTCGATATCTATCTGTGTTCACGCATTGCTACCTCCGTCGAACGCTTTACATTCAGCGAAATATCATGTAAGCAGTTCTAGGGCACAGTAGTGCGTATTAATTCATCATTGGAAACTAATTAAAATCCTTTCTAAACACCAGCTTTTTTGTCTTGGAAAAGTTGTATGCTTACATCTCCAGCAGCCATTACGCTTATTTGCTGAAAAGCAATCGGTTGGTCATCTTATAGTGTGATTTCATGGGATGATAGCTATTTTCACTGGGCTAGCATATGTTGATACATTGTGAGAGAATATGCTGCTCAATGGTTTATGACATCATCATATATAGTTGTACGCAGTCGAAAGTAGTGTTGATCATGCAACAGTTTTCTAGTCTTTTTTTGAAAAGTCTTCTGTAAATATTTTTCCTTGACTGGTCTTTTTTTTATTCTTCATAAGATTTCTCCCTTTATATATTCATAGTACTGTTGTTTTAGTTTACATCGTTCACTTTCTGGTGCCAATATTGTTTAAATTTTAAAAGCAAGTAAATATGTAAACAGTACGAATTTAAAGACCAACCTATCAACTGTTGAAACAACCAATGAGGGTTTGTTATTTCGGCTGGGAAGGTAGTTTTTCATAAAATAAAGAAACGTAATTGGTTAATTTCAGCAGTTAATAGAGTGATCTTTAAATTCACTCATTAAAACATGCTAAGGAAAAATTGAAATAAGTTCCCCATGCACTTAGATTGGTGTGGCAACTATTGCGATCGGCTTGATTCAGGCATGTTTTTATCGCAAACTGCGACGAAAAATGGCAGTTGTAGTGTTTATTGTAAGCTTTTCAAGAACCTTTCGAATATGTTTCACAATTCATCATATACCAAGTTTTAACTATATAACGCATTCATTTTGTAGAATGTGAGGTTTTGGTTACCAGTAATGTAGTTTGCTTTGTATTGATGTCGTAACCACTGGAAGGCACATATTTTTCACATCAAACATGTGTCCCGATGTTGGTTTTCGTGTTATCCACCTGGGATGATAGTATAAAGGGTGGTGTGTGCAGCACGCCAGTTTATTAAAAGCTTATTTACGCGAAGTTATCTAGAGACATCGCAAGCTAACAGAAAAGTGCAGCGCAACTTTTTATACCTGTTGCTTAGGTCTAAATCCTCTGAAGGTACTATTTTTCAAGTCCTTAGTATGCATGTGGTAATTCTGATTCGTTGAAAACACGAATTTTAAAAATTTAAAGTCATAGAAATTGGCTATTTTGAGTGTACTGTACAGCTGATCACTCTGTCCTGCTATAGTCATCAAAGATGGTCATTAAATGTGAAAGATTTGGCCAGCTTTGCTTCTATAACCTCGTGTGTGCCATGTATCATTATTGAGGCAATAAGGAAGCTAGGCATAGGGTTCCTTGTGATTAAGATAGATAAATAAATTGGTGAGGTTGCATACACTGTTTGATGCTTGTGTCTGCAAAGCGTGCTACGCAGCTCTACTTGCCGCCTACTTCAGAGGGCAATTTTTGACTCGAGAAGTGGTTAGGCAAAACTTTCACATCACAGAGAGTGTAGACTTTGACTACTCAGATTAGACAAGATTTCCGCAGTAGGTAACTCGAAACTCTAAGTAGTATAGTTGAAAATCAACTCTATTGATGCAGATGAACTAATGTTAAGTTCCCATCTATTTCATAGTGATATAATATCTTCCGTTGTTGTTTCTGAAGTTAACTTCCACCGAATACAAGTATTCTATTTAACAATAATGGTATCATTATTGCCTACTACTTATTTTTCATTTTACTGAGCGTCGATCAATGTCTGTCTCATTTTTATACTTTAGTGACTAGTTTGACAAAGTTGACTGAGAACTTGGTGGGAATATTCTTCTTACAGTCTCGTCACATTTTTTAAAACAATAAGTAACAGTGAATAATGAGGTATTCAATTGATGGCTGATTTGCCCTGTCAAATATAAGTCTGAAGCTTTTTAAAAAGGCAATATAACGTAACTTGATCGACAGCCTTTTATGAATGCTAATAAATAAGGAATAGACAACTATATCGGGCCACACGCCGATTACTAATTGGCATACATAAACCAGTCAATTGTTGCCTGAATAACTTTGACTTCGGCACCGAGTGACGCAGGCTCCAATCACCATGGAATATAAAAGTCTTCATGGCTGCAGATATACCTTGCTGATGCTTATCAGAAAGCACGAATCATAGATTAGGTTGATTCCAACCATAGGACGCCAAAATATGTATCCAGTTTTCTGGGGTCATTGAACTGGTGCGTGTGATGAAAATCCATAATCTTAAGAGCATTACACAACTCCCTTGAAATTCGAATTTACAGCGTTCTGCGCGATTATACTTTTCATTTAGTAACGGATCCTTGGATTTGTGAAAAGAATATATTTGATGGCAGTTTCAAGATCCAACTAAACTGCGAATGAAAATTTTTATTTTTCCTGGTCAGTGTGATGTTGATCATAAACCCTAGGTCACCAAAAGTTCTTCATTACTCATAGTATCAGTATCTATACTAGTCAAGAGTATTATTCACAGAATACTTGTCAATCCTATAGATACTACAGCTTGAAATCATGTCATACTACCCATGTACTCCGTACGAATTCTTACTTTACGTTTTAGATAAATGTAAAATCATGTGAAGCAAAAAATAAACAAATTAAGATCATCTCTATGAGTGACATTGAACACACTAATCATTTACATGATTGTGATAAAATGGTATGATTCTCTTGTTGGTGGTTATCAGTGAGATCCAGAACGTGCGTTTCTTCCTGTTTGCGGTTCATCAGTTAGGTGTTCCTACATTTCGGTGAATGGAGGTGCTCCACTGGTAGCCACTAGCAAACAAATTATGGTGTAATGAATCTTCAGGCAATATTGTGACATCCTCACAGGAGCTCATATACCAACAGAGATCGATTAATCCGACGTAGTATAAAAGTGGGGAATTAAAATTGTTGGTCAATAATAACCACTGGTTGCTGAATTAAGAGCAAGCAGTTTCCTCGCATATTAATTTAGTTAGTCATAGCCACTAGCAATGATATCAGTAGCATAACTTTCAGTTATACATTTTCTTTTTCTAGTAGTAAAACTTATCTGCTTTGTTATCATGTAATAGTCTTTCATTAATTTTCTTTTAAAGGGTTTAACTGTCGTATATTACGTAGTTAGATATTATTTTTTTCAATAAAAATGTTTTTCGTTTGTTCTACGAAAGTGGTAAATATTTATGTAAATGGTCATATAAGACATTAAGTACTGTAAGTCGCATGAAGGCGACCAGCAAGAAGCCGTTAACCAATGTTTCGTACTTTTCGGTACTCGTCAGCAAGGTGTATCTGCGACCTTGATGGAACTAGTGTCCCGCCTGAGATTCGAACCCGCGTCACCCAATGCTACATTCAGAGGCGTTACTACTGAACTGTTTGGACTGCAATTGGTCTGCTTTAGAACTGAGTTACATGCAGTGATTAGTCACTGGAGGGTAACCAACTTTATGTTGTCTAGTCCTATGTGATAATCGAATCCTATAGATCATGTCAATGATGAGTCTCCTAACCTGTCGACCACATTGCAAAATGATGAATAGAATTGGTTCAGCACATACGACTAGATAACATGAAGTTGGTTATCCTTGAGTGATCAATCAATGCATTGAATACTATTTACTGACTTAGTGTGTTCATAAACAACTTCCTAGTTATCATTTTCAAACTTACTCGCAGTTTTTCTCAAGCGATGAGATGTCATCATTACGAGCAAGACCACAAAGGTTTTATTCTATCAAGTAAACGTTTGCTTTTCTCTAAACAGTGCCGTATAGATAAACTTCTCAGGGATCCAATAACACTGCGGTCCTGGGTCTCATCTAGCAGACAGGCTCTATGTGTTTATCATGTGTCTAAAAGTTCTGTTTGAAAGTTAAGAATTAGATAAGGTAAAAAAGTGATATATATATATATATATATATATATATATATATATATATATAATCACAGCACTGAATCTTAGTGTCCTTATTCAGGTGAAATAATCCCCTACACTTTGAAGATAATATTTCAATAAAACGTTGAATGTAAGTGTATGCTACTGTGTGATGAATTTTCTTCTGCATAATTTCTTTTTTCTGTCAAACATTGAACAACTAAATTACATCATTTCATCCTATATGACTTATTTACCAACTTCCCATTGGTGTCATGTATATCGTAATAAATTTACGTACAATATTTTTTAAAACCTCTTTATTATGTGTACCTTTTTTCATCACAATGTTCAACTATTGTTTCTGAATGTGTTTTAGTATAGTAGTCTTGTATATCCTGTGCTATCTCCTCTATGCTTCTTTGGATAACACTGTTACAACTAAGCCATATATATATAACCCAAATGCAACTGAGCAGATATTAAGAAAATTGATTCCAATTTCCGTTGTAAGTAGTATTCCAGCTTACTTTTGCTTCTATACTGTTCTCAAATCTACCAGTAGCCAAAGAAGACAAATGCATAGGATTATTTTGTCTCTTGAATATTATTACACGTATCGTTAATAAACGAATTCTGCTGTTTGTGTTTAGATTCATTAAACAGAAGAGAGCAACTGGACGACTGAAAAAGTATTTAGGTGATATATTTTTACAATTGGGTGACATAGAAATGGCGCAAGTTCAGTATAACGTTGCTATTGAGCATTTGAAACCTATTGGGGATAATCTTTGGGTCGCTGGTGAGTCGGTTATTAATCTTTTACGCTTTGACTTTCTGCTTACTGTTCTGAAAATTCCATTTTTCCCTCTTTTATCGTTCAACCTCTCTGTTCTATCTACAAATAAAAACCATAATACGCTTGTGCTTATTCGAAATTATAAGTTAGTCACTTCAAAAATGCGCTAAAAGTATTGATGCAGCAGCTTGTAGCCGATTTGAGTTTCCACATTTATTTTTTACTTTTTAAAATGCATAACATACTCTACTGTTATATCAGTCTATTTAAATAGAATTGTGTGTATGTATGTGACCTACTTGAAGGTCACAACACTCTAATGTTAAACTAGTAAGTCTGAAATGAAAGCCACCAACTAAGAGAACTTTATGGCAAGATCAACAAATCAGATAGCTAGCCTAATATGTTGGTACTGTATTTCAGTGTGTATACAAGGAAGTTCCCTCCATCTTACGTATAGTGGTGCCAGTGTTATATATTGTTTTAGGTATTCACTGGATTTACGGAAGTAAGTGAGAAGTAGCTCAGTAAGTACCTCACTATTTCCTGAAAATCTTTGTGTCTTTTATGTTTCAGTTTAATGCCAATGAATTTGCCCGAGCGATAGCTGCTACCTTGATATGGTGGTTGGGCCTGCACATCACAATGACCTAATAAGCTACACTGGCTAGAACGTTTGTCCCCTTGAGGTCTTACCATCTCAGGAAGGTCTCTTGGATAGTGGTAGGACCAAAGGAAGCTACCATTAGAGTGTAAGTAGCTACACAGTGTTTAGGGTCCTAGGGCGACGTCTTACTACTGGTTAGACTGGGATTTGACAGTGGCAAAGTGTTCATCTTGGATCAGCAACAGTATCATGGTTGATGCTACCTTCCCTATGGGTATGGGTTTAGAAACAGTCGAGCTGGAAAACAACGGACTCCTTTCTGCACTACAGTCCTCCGGTGACGGTATTATTGATTTTTCTTGTATGACATTAACACAGTAAGATCTCAATTCAACAGTACCAACAAGGTTATTTGTTACAGATCTTGAGGAGATGTCTCATGGACTCTGTAGTCACACAAAACTAGTCTTTTTTCTCTTTCAGGCACGTTGCGGAAACGACTTCTACGGTGTGAGCAGCTGAAAGCCACCAACCACCCACAAGCTTCCAGCAGTATACAAAGCTAAACTCAGCATAACCTACCCATGTTGCCTATGTCTCTGCCCCTGTCTTCATCACCTGATACTAGTATTAAACCTCTTCTAACTTGATCAGCCTCTCATTATTTGATCATTACATACAATCCAAATCAGCAAAACACCGTGTCGAATCTCCTAAACTCCACTTTAGATTTCGCATTGAAGCTATCAGCGTCTGAATTTTATGTCAAACCAGGAAACAGGTACCTCTTATCGAAATTCTGGAATCTTGAGCCATGGATGTACAGTGAATTTAAGAAACGATTGTGCAGGACCCAAGTATTCTAGTTCACTTAAACTCACCCGGCTAGTGTTGTGATGCTGCAAAATTCACTTTACGAGTGTTTTGAGATCCAAACGCCAGATCTTGTGTACTCTTGATGTGGGCGTAGCATTAGTTTGCACAGCAGAAGGTGCACTTTTCGACTGGATATCAGTTAACAGCCGTTTGTGTACTGTCTGACTCATTGAATCTATAAGAATTGGGAAGGGTCCTGGGACTTTTAGGTGTCCCTGCCTATGCGTCAACTGACTGCAGTTCGGATGATGCGAGGTATGAATTCTACCAAAAACCATCAATTTTGCTACATGAAGTAAACATGCAGATATAGTCATAATAGCAAGCAACTTCAAGGCTTAAATTGGGAGACTGAGCCGATCTAAAAAATATATTGGAGGCATCTACGGTATCGCATACCGAAAAACCGATAACGGTGATCGTCTCTCGCAACTTTATTTTGACAATCACTTGTTTCTTGCCAGCTTAAAATTCAAGTATAAAGAGACGCTTTCATATGGCGTCCTCCAACATAAAACCAACGATAGACACAGATATTCCATGTTGCTACCAACCATCGTTGGAGAGGATTGGTGAGGGTTGTGACATTTTCTGGAATACCTATTTGAACACTCATCACGCTTCGGTATGGTCACGTGTCTATAGGCACCTTACCGGTAACAATAAAAAGGCTGCAGTTCATTCTGTATGCGCTCTGTTAGAAGATGAGAGCGTGAGGTAGGTTTTGCGGGAGGAGATTGCTAAGCATTTATGTAGACGGGACAGGAATCCTCATCCTGAAGAAACCTGGTGTAATATTAAGTCTGCTGTAGAAATAGCGGTAATGGTAGTGAGTAACCTACATCCAAAGGTTAGCAGTCATCAGGTTTCCTCAATGTTATCCGAACTCAATGATGCGAAAAGACTAATTCTGACTTGCTCTGACCACAATGAAGAGCGAAAGCAACTTAAACATGAGTTGACCAAGAATTTTCTCTGTGATCGCTAATAGTAGTGAGTGGTGAGAGCGAGAAAGATGGAGAAGGCATTGGGTAATACTCGGCAATTATTTGAGCTTATTAAGCAAAGTGATAAGGAGATGAGACCATCACGTATAAGGGTGGGACTGTGATAACGTCTCAAGGTAAAGAGTTGAAACATCGAGTGGAACACTTTGAAGCTTATTTTAATTGGCCCACAACAATGCTTCAGTTGCCCAGCATTCAGCCTGAATCTGAATTAGACGTGGATATTGTTCCTCCAAGTCTGCTCGAAGCTGAAAAAGCTGTTTCTTACCTTAAACGCTGCAAAGTAACAGGACCTCACGGTTTGCCACCAGATGTTTATAAGAATAACGGTAGTAAATCGCTGATTCGAGTAACGGAAATATTAAGTAGTGTATGAGAATCAGAGGCAGTGACACCAAGCTGACCTACTTTACTGATCATTTCAGTGTATAAAAAAGGAGATGTCTTCTAGTAACAAAGATAGGGAACCAGTTTGGATGATATCATATCCAAGATCCTTGGTCCCATAGTTATCCGACGGTTAACTGGAGCTCGATAACAGCAAGCTCGAGAGAACCAGGCACGTTTCAGACCTGGATGAAGGTGTATCGATCAGATTTTCACTCTTCGTCAGGTTATGGAACAGAATCATACCCACTAACGTTTGACACTTGCTATATTTCCTGACCTGAAGGTGGCATGTGACTCTGTCCAGCGACTGGCTTGTTACCTATAGTTGTATTGGGTTGGAAAAACCTTCAGAGTGGCTAGACGTAGACCCGACATCAGTCCAATAAGCCTCTGACTGTTGATTTCCAACCATATTGTGAAGTGTAAACTGAGTAGTTTGTTGCTGTCCTCGACGAAATAAGAAGTGCTGGTTGGAGATCATTAGTGACATGGCTGAAAATTGGTCGCAGTGGTGCTCGTCTATTCACTCTTTGATATATTCTAAAGCCCACACATTTTCCACCAATCTTTTTTGATCACTGTATTTACAAAGTATTTCTAGGTTATGAACATTTCCTCTATCAGCTGAGATATATGCGAAAATATAATTCCTCTAAACTCAGGTATTAGAGTTTACAGTTAGAATAAGGGTACAATACCGTAAATTGAATAAATGTTTTATTTAATTTTCTTTTCCCTAACTTCCTTTCAGGAGCTCTTGAAGGCCTTTGTGCAGTTGGTATGTGCAGACATACGTATGATCAGTTCTCAAATTCTGGTTCAATACGTTCAAAATCTTTACATCGTCGTCACCTAGATGAACAATTATCTAATGGTAGCTTACGGAAACCACAATTGCAAGAATCAGACATATTGGGTAAGTTAATGTCCAACAGTGATTAACGAATTATCAGTTAGAATTATTGAAAATAATAATTAAAAGTATTTAGTAAATGGTGAGTGGTTTCAGTTTATGTCTTGGTTTCATAGTGTCTATCATAATTTATCAAGGTTCTCATGTCCCTTTTTCTTAGGTTTATTACCATTTTTCTTTTCAGTTTTCGCATTTTTGTCATTGTCAATACCTTTATCTCCGAAACTGCACCTGAGGAATTAATCATTGTTCCTTCATAAACCAACTTGAGCGAAACTAATAGGTGGTTATCTACAGCTTTTATAAAGCTGACACAATAGGTGTGCTTCATCACCGACTGCACGAATATGTGCAAGGTTACTTAGAGCATTTCGATTTGGATTCGACAGTTTCAGAGTAATATGAGTAGATACGTGTAAACATTACAGGTGTTGTATGTAGTAGGATAGTACCAGTTCTTGTATCTTTAACTGATGGATTTCTGTGCAGAGTATTAGGTTGATTGTTCTGTCTGTCCCTGTATTTCCTTACCATAATAAACAATACTTTGAGACTAAAATGTTAGGACCTATACTTCACACAAATCGAACATAACGAGAGAGTAATCATACCTTCTTGTGTGGTTTATCTAACAAACTGACATGGAATTATTCTCTGCTATACTACCCATTTTTTCTTCTTATCTTAATAACAGTCATACCATATTATGTAAACTGGTGAAATACTGGCGTTAACAAGAAGCTCAGGTTCTAATAGAACCGGCCTTTGGGGAACTTATGTTTTGCAATACTCCATATTCGAGTGTTCCTATCATCTAATGCTATTCTGAATGATTGAAAACAAAATTTAGTAGGTCTTACCTAAGATAATTCGTAAGAGCCTGGAATATTCGCTGGAAATTTCAGGCATCTTCTGAGCCGTTTATTGCACTGAAATATGAGTTGTCTTTCAAGTATACCACAATAAGTAAACACCCTTTGTGGACTTAACTGTTTTTACCGATGATTTTATTCCTCTTTTAGTCAAATTTATATGGAATAAGTGAAGTTCGCCGTAGTTGTCTTTTTCTCCCGCAAATGATTGAGCTGTTATTATAGCTTAAGCAATGTTTCATATAGTCTTATTGAAACCTATTGATTTCTTTTGAGGTCATGTCTCTCAGCCTGTATAGAAATTAGAATGAATAAGCTTAGTATATGAGAGCCTGTTTGACTTTTCTACGTTAAATTGAGAACCATACATTTACCGAAGTCGTGATATACTAGTTACGGCAAATCTTCCGTTTTGTATTTGCCGCTCTATTGTTTTTCTTTTAAGACAGCGATGTATTACTTTCTTTTGCCTAATATTTACCTCCCGTAAGTATATTCTTTCACATGAGCGTTATTAAATACGAAGCAAATTTTGTCAATAAAAAAAGAGAAATCAACATAGAATCGCTTGCAAAATTGCACCAGTTCAAGTTACCACACATATTAGCAACCCACAAAGGAAAGCAAAACAGAATAAAGTTTATTTAGAATTACCACTGAACGAGTACTGATGAATAAAGCTTAGAAAAATTCATGTAGATTTGCACAGCTGATAGTTTAGTTCAGTAATTACTGAGTGCTTTTGGTTATAGCGTCCTTTTGGTCATTAGTTTTTTGTTGGCTGTAGTAATTTTCTGCTTTGTATTTACAGAACGCTCCACGTCTTCAAGTTTAGATCTTGCTTCAACAAAGTCTCATCAACCTGTTATAATATCATCTGCCGATTGTTGTAATTATGCTCTGGAGACTATGGAGTTGTACAATAAGGTAGCATTTACTTTTTGGGTGTGCTTTGTACGAACATATTATTTTAGAGAAATGTTTAATATTTTGGGCTATTTTTATCGATCACATTTCTCAAACTAATTATATAGTTCGGTGCGGCGGGTTCTGTTATAACCTATACACCTGTGGTAATGCGGTTAATTTTTAGCTATATCACCAAGAATCACTAACCATTAGTTCGCAACATTTTTACCATTCCTACATAAACTCAAATCATTAGTCAGAGACTTAACGGATTCATGTCACGTTTAAGTCTATTCATTCTTAGTGTCCTAACAAATTAATCCCGCTTCAGCTAACAGCTCATCGAGGTGGGCATTTACTCGACGTGATCAGTGCATGTTTCAACCACTTCAATTAATGGAGGTTCATATAATAATCTTACTCTCCTTACCTAACATCCTGTGCCTAAACTAGAAGTTGATCGCATTTGTTGCTCAACGACGTATACGAAATACTTCAGCGCTTTCTGCGATCAAAAACTTGTAACCTACTGCGAACTGTACAGTACATTCATCTTTCGATATGTAGTTGGTTAACTGATTGACATCCAAAATAGCGTAATCTGTCAAGTTCCAAATGGGCCTTTTGTGTTCCTGCTGAAATGTTTGCATCAACACAGTGATTACGGATGAGTGATCGTATTTTTGCTGATATCCTTCAAGAAACTCTGCAGATTGTTAACTTTTTCGCATACCAGGATAATCGCGTCTGCATATTCCAAGCCAAATAGGTACATTCTAGGTGGTAGGTCAACCCCTGACAAGTTAATACATCCATTGTAAAGTTTAATACCAGTGATTAGACAGGATGTCGTTAACAGACACCAAAGGTTGTCCTTTACCTTAAACAAAAGCCCTTCAAAAGCTGTTACACTGCTTTGTGAGTTGGAGTATTGCTCCTTTGTAAGGGTTTTATTTGCTCTGTGTACTGTTTACTGCCAGAAATTTCCACAACACATCTTGATTAATAAAGCCAAATATCGTTTTCACTTTGAGGAATATGGCTATTTTTTGGGTACCGTTAAGCATTTTTGTGTTCCAAAACCTGTCAAAGGATGGAACTTCGACTAATGGACCCTCATTGAAGCCTGAAACCTGGATATTTTCCTTTGTTTCGTTTGTGAGCTCATATTTGAGAACGACGATGATGCCTAGGTTTCATTCCGACTTTATCTAATCGTCTCTAATCTAAGTTGGAACACCATGCGACTGAAATGCTAGTCATTCGAGAGAGACAATTTACTATCGTTATATCCTTGTATGACTTCATCCCAAATTTTTCATCAAACTATAACAATGGATTCTTGTAGATTTGCCAGTATCCGGTCAAATTTCTTTGCATATTAGAAATTCAAGGAATAATCTTTCTTACCGGCGTAGCGTGTCAGATTGTTGTTATGCCTACAAGTTAGACTATTGCATGGACGTAGGAGCTACGAACCCGGTAACTTTGTGAAATCTTGCATTCATTTTCGCGTATTGTATCACTTATCTTGTATTTTTCTATTCTTCGTTGATCTTCCCAGGTTGCATTGAATCCTTACCTTTTTGAAGAGTTCAAGTTTAAAGTGATTCGATTACTTATTACTAAATCAGTAAGTTTCGTAGTTGAATAATTCAAGATTTCTTTATTCTGTATTGTTACTGAATACACCAATTTTGTGGCCTGTGGGGATTTATTTATTGATCTCAGATTAGTATTTATCATGGACTGACATCAGTTGAAGGAAGATTGGAAACCTGGAAACACTGGGCTGCTGTTTCTTCCTATCATGGTGCTCTTCAGCAGTGCGCACCCATGACCACGCCAGGGATCGAACCCATTACCTATAGGTTCCGTGGCCAGCATATTACCAGTGAGCTGCTGGGTCGGAATCCGGTTTTTATTTCCTAATTCTGTCAGTTCACGATGCAGCACCACCTCCGTCCAGTGCCGTCATTGTGTAACTGTTCTCATGTTCGACTCGGTTGGCCCCACCAGTCACGACTTCCCATTGGAACTTCGGGAAAAACCTTTCGAAACTATACATATCAACTTAAATCTGCACATAAAGTCTTCGTGTGACCTAGAATTGTTACGTAACGGTCCAATTTGGTTCACCACACAACAGTACATCAAGCGAGAATGCACCAAGATAAAAGATAGGGAAATAAAGAAGAAATCCGGCTAAAATGATAGAATATTTTGAAAAGGGAGCAAGGAGAAATGAGAGTAGTTAAATTCAGTATCAGGATTAAGATGAAACTAGTGCGTAGATGCATATGCACCAATGGGATCGATTCTCATCCATACCTTCTAGTCTCCAACCATGTCTCGGTCACTTGAGTCACTTGAGTTCACAGCTTCATCGATTGTCTTACCTCTTCTCCCTAAAATGCTACACGTTACTCTACGTTAATGACGTGGTTGAACCATGAGACAGCCTGTGCTACTAAGACAACAGTGATCGAATACCTGAAGCTGTCTTATTTCCTCTATCTTTAATGGCCATGTTTCACAGCCACGTATTAGAAGAGAGCGAACGGCAGTGCAGTGCACTCAATCCTTAGTAGGCTGTCGGATATCATACTGGCATCATAAATGGCGTGAATTGGTGATGGCTAAGTGAGTCTTTTACATCTTTATCAGGATTTCACCTGTCTTTGGCCCACCGGAGCAAAACTGATCTGACTTTCCTAAGTAAGTGGATCGGTCAAAGTGCTCAACCACTTAACTCCCTATTGTTGGAAAAGCGGCAAGCGGAGACTAGTTATATAGCAGTTTGCCAAGATCTTAATGTAGCAGAACTTTGTCATCTGCGTACTCTAAATCTACTAATGATTCGCCCGTGACAAAGTCAATCCTTATGAGAAATACAGAAACCTCCAATGATACTACTTATAGTTTTCCTTAAAATTTTTATCTAGTTAAACACTGGAGTAAATATTCCTATAGTATGTATGGGTTACGTTGAAGTACACTTTTTTTTTACCGAACAATCTCTTCCGACCTGCTTTTTTTGGCCTACTATTTTACTCAATAGTTCTTTGCAAATCTGCTTAAGATAAAATCATTCGGTAATATACTTAAGAAGGACTACACAAGCAAATAAATTGAATCACTGATTTCTGCATGAACTATGCCCTGCTAGTGTGATAAAAGTGTTAAATACGAAACTCTTCGTTGATACTATCGCATATGGTACTCAGTACTGACATGCTGTGTGACCATTAAGTGGTGATTACTGTGTTAGGTGAAAGACGCTTAAAGACAAGAGATAAATTGCCTTGCTAAATCTAGTTTTCTGACTCACTTATCATCAAGGTATATTTTAAGGCTGTCAAACAACTGTTGCTTTGTTATATCACTCATCACTACAATCGATTTTCCTTGATTAGTTAACACTAAATGTAAATGCGACTTGATTTTGATTTAATCAGTTGCAAACTTCATTTGCTTAATTTGGTCACCACTGTAATTAATTACTAAATTTAGGTCAAGTATTGTTTCACCATTTTCAGTTTTACACGAAATTGTCTTTCTAGTGAACTAGTGCATTGTAAACAATTAGATCGCATGAAATCTGTAGTTCTGATTATCAGTGTTTCCTTCAATCGATGCGAATTAGGTTTTTGAATATTACTTGCTACTATTATTCTTTCTGTAAGTTTGAACACTTTTATAAAAAAATCATTCAACTCATTGATGTGATTCATAAACACTGATTTTTATACTAATTTTAATGCTACCGGAAACTATTTGAATACCAAGCTCACTTATTATATTTTATTGCATTGGTGAAAAGCTACTTTGTACTACACTATTGATTTATGGATCGATTCATGTCACATGATTGTTTCTTTTATCTACATGGTATATTTTATTTATTTTCAGTAGTAATAAAAGTGGTAAAAGTGGGAAATTTTATTTTCATCTATCTATTTTTTGTTTTATTAAGCAAAAACGTAAAGCATGCGAAATTCTTGATTCGTTGATTGCACCATCTCTCTCTAAGTTTGATCCTCAAGTAAGTCAGTATTATAACCTGATTTTGGATAGTGATGTCGCTTAGTTGGTTCATTAAAATTTTTTTACAATATTATCTGTTCAATACAGCTCATAATGATAAGCAACATCTAAACATTTAGTTGGATAGATTATGTTCGCTGAATAGTAGAAAGGAAAACTGTGGATGAATGTATCACTGTAAGCTAGCGTGACAGATTGGAATGCAAGGGCACTACCAACTTTTAAAGGTCATTGATAGGGTGCTCTAAAATCAAAGCACCTATGAAGTAATTTCTACAATAACAAGGTCTAAACTACCATAACGGGCACTATTTATCATTTTCAAATGTTTATCTAGAAACCACTTAGATTTTAAATGATTTTGCGATAACCTTTGAATCAAGCTTAACTGCTCATCGGAATTCACATTAAATGGAAATACTATTAAATTGTGACGGTATAACAAGGAACATAATAGGAATAAAACTAAATCAAAGTAATGAAATTAGTTTAATGACTAGTTTTAAACAAAACAATATAATTACTTCAGGTTTTAGATCATGAATTTATTGGCTACTATTGTGATAAGTCTGTGAAACCACTGATACTCTATTTTAGATTTAGTTAACAAAAGGTACTGTGTTGCATGGGTTGGGATAAACTTGAATATAGCTTGTTGAGAAACGGAGTTGCACAGTTTTCTTTTATTTCCTGCTTGTTGTCTCCGGTACAACAGCTGTTCGTTCAGTGATTCTCTCAGCTATTGAAATGCCGGTATGGAAAATTCATTTTCCATCTTTTACAGTGAGGATACTAGATTGGTGTTAATCATCCTTATACTGTTTACTTATTATGTCTTCGCCTAGCTGTCTGAACTACATGCTTTTGCCAATCCACTCCTAAGGCTGATCCTGCACGTGATTAATCTATCATATACGAGTCGAGTGACTTTAAAGGCTACTCCAAGAACTGCGTAAGTAACCAATTAAACTTATGTATTTGATGAAAATCTGCATATTCAGCCGAAACGAAGAAACGTAACCCTAGTCGGCTGTTATATTCGTTGCTAGAGTGGCCTTTAGAGTAACTCGACTGACCACGTTGCATTTCCTCAATTCACCCACATAGTGAGTCACGCAGTTTATCTCCATCCCAACCTCGTGCATCACAACACGGTCCTGTTCTTTTTATCTGTGTATCCTAGACAATCAGAATATGTGTATATGCAACTGAATTTTCCGTCCTCAACGTACCATAATTGATAAAAATGAAACGATATACAACAGTCGATTTTACTCGAGAAGCCATTGTTTCCTTACTATGAGTAATACTGAAGTGATTGAGGCGTTAGCTGGAAGGCTGTTGCTCTGAGCTATGCAATAATGCTACCTGATGAGTCATAAGTAAAATACCTTTTAAAATAAATAAAATAATACTTGTCTGAGATTCTGGTTTTCTATTTCTCCGCCGATTTAACAGTATTCAATTCACAACATAATCACCTTAGTTCAACACACGAGGTTAAGTAGCATATATTAATTGATTGCCTGATCAATTGTAAGGTTAGAAGTGTAATTTTTTCTAACTGCCTTCAGGATAAAAATTAATTTTTGCACAAAAATTCACCTACCCGGAAAATTCATTTGTACAAAAAAAACTCTGTGATCCCTTCGACCAGAGTTTGGCTTGAAGCAGTTTTCAGCTTAATGTTCAGCATTTATTCCTTCAACATTTTAGATCTTTTTTTGTACGAATTTTATGATTATGAACCCAAAGTGGTTTGCGTCATAATCGTGTAGTACGTAACTACCTGGTGTCAGTGTGTAGGAGCATCGATTTTCAAACTTTACTAAACGTCAGAAGATTGAACTTTAAGGTAGCCTTTCGCTTGATGATTATTTTGCATCAAATTACATGCAATAGATGCTGATTATCTTATTGTTTTTTTGATTCATTTTCTTGTAGAATTCGTGTTCAGTTAAACGTTATCTGACTATTGTTCGCTTGTATAAAGCTATGAATTTCAGTCGTAAAGCTAGTTTAGCCCTTTGGCTCTTGTCAGCATCAAATCACCTGGATGATGTCAGCTTTGAACATGAAACTCTACTGAATGGTTTGAAAATTCAATCACCTTACAGTCCTAATTTGACTCAAATAACAACGAGTGACATGAAACTATCTGGTAGTGATAATAGTCAGAATAATAAGGATTCAACTTATTTAATGAATGAAAGTCAACCACAACCGAGTATTATCTGTCGTTTAATTACGAACCCACCATTATGGAGTCCATTTATTGTATTGAATCAGTTGAACTGGATAACCCGTATAACTGGGACAACAACTTCACTAACAACTATATCATCATCGTCATCAACAGTTGGTCCATTGAGCAATCTACTGAATAAGTCCAAGTCTTTACATCAAACTACACGTCATTTCAATTCCAATATCAATCCTAGTTTAAGCAGTTTGTATTTTTCAAAGTCATCTCTACCATTTCGTTCAGTTGGTTGGTGTGAATTACAATTGAAAGTAATGTATTATCTTATCAATCAATATAAAGCCAAAATTAATCTAGAAGATACTTCAGAAATTTCATGGGATATAGGATTAAAACTTATTGGGTACCTGGAATGTTACATTTGTGTTTAATTTAATCACTATGTGGACATTTTATGCTGATTTGAAAAACCACTCAATAGCCTTGTAATATACTATACTATTGTGTCAAGGTTAACGATACAAGCTGTGTACTCAGTTTGATGTAGTTGTAGTGACTTTGGAAGCTTGGTCCACAAGATACATAAATAGACCGTGGCTTCTGAATAAGAAGTATCGCCTTTAAAGCATTGGTAAATGTGTCCTTGCCTTAAAAAGTTTGTAAAATGCCTTGTACGATCATTGGTAGATATCTGTTTTACTAAGCAAAATACCCTACCGATAGCTGCTACCTTGACGTGGTGGTCGGGCTTGCATATCACAATGACCCAACGACCTATGCTAGTGGAGCACTTGTTCCCTCGAGGTCCTACCATACCAGAAAGGTCGGTTGTATAGTGGTTAGACGAAAAGCAGTTACCGTTGTGGTGTAAATTACTACACTATGATGGGGGTCTGAGGGCGAAGTCACACTGCTGTTAGCTGGATGGGGTGTGATGGCAGTAAGGTGTTTCCCTTGGATGACCAGCAGTGCCATACTGATGCTGCCTTCTCAGTGGAATGGGTGGGGGGTGGGGGGGGGGTGGTTAGAAAAGGTTGGCCTCCAAAACAACACACTCCACCATACCCCACGGTCTACCGGGCTGGCGGTGTTGGTTCATTTATCGTTTCCTTTTGACCATCCGGCCCCAAAAATTCAAGAAAACTATACACCCAAGGCTGGGTGTGACAGGCCTCAAGTAGATGTCCAATGGGCTCTGCGGTCACACAAATCTCTTTCAGGTACCTTGAGGAGAAATGCCTTCCACGGTGTGGGCAGCCGGGAAGTGTCAACCGTCTTCACAACTCGATCAGCACTCAAGTTTCCTTAAACTGCTATCCATCTCCTCCATCATTACTTCTGGTCTTTCTTCACATCTGTAAATTAACGATGCTACATCATCTTGAATTTCTGTTAGCTGTGCAGCCTTGGACAATGATCTTAGTACATGGAACAACATGCGTGTTCTGCTTAAACCACACTGCTAATAAAATATTGGTGCCTTCAATGTCCACACCCTCGTGAAATTGGTCAACAGTCTTCGTTGGTAAAGACTCTAGAAACTCGGACCACGGATGTGTGCTGTGTCTGTGAGACACGTATACAGTACCCAAGTGAAGTTATTTACCTGACCTCTCCCTGCCAACCCGGTGAGTCCACAAAATTCACCCTTCGAGTTTCCTGAGATTCGATAGCTCTCGTGTTCTTGCAGATGTAGGCACAACATCAAGCACTAGGGCTGGAAACTCACCACTAGACTGGATCCCAGTTGAAAGTCACCTCTGCGCTATCCGACTGAACGCCACAGTGAGAACTAAAAGGAATAGTGAAACTCGGCGTTGTCTCTTGTAATCTCTGCTTACACACCCATTGACTGTAGTTCGGATGAAGTGAAGGACGAGTTCTACTGTAAACTGTCTAGCCTACTCTCGAAAGCCAAACGTTTGGACGTCATGGTTGTTGCAAGTGACTTCAGTGCACAGGTGGGTAGACTGAGTGAGACAGAAAGGCACTTAGGTGGCACTTTAGGAGTTTTGACTGAACGAACAGATAACGGTGATCGCCTACTACAACTGTGCTCAGATAAGCGCCTATTTTTATCTCGCACAAATTTCAGACATAAGAAAAGACACTGTCTGACGTGGCGTCCACCGAGCTCAACTCAGTGATGGACACAGATAGACCACGTTGCTATTAGTCATAGCTAGAGAGTATCAGTGGAAGACTGTCGGTCCTTCTGGAGTACGTGTTTGGATAGCAACCACGCATTGTTGTGAACGCGTATATGCCTGAGTCTCAATGGATGGAAGAAACATTTGGCTACACAAGCACTACAGGTGCTGCTGGACAACGGAGACACCAAAGCCGTTTTCAGTGAGCGGTTGGCTGGGCAGCTATCGGAACAAAAGACTGTCACCCATCCAGAAGAACCTTGGTGCCATCTTCAATCTGCTGTGAAAGCAGCGTTGAAGACTGTAACCGACTCCGAAATAGTGGCTAAAAAGAGCCAGTGGATATCAGCAGCTTCTTGCGAACTAATGGATGCACGTGAACTCATCCCTGCAGGCTCTGAGTACAATTATGAGCGAGGGCAACTTAAAAGTAGACTGATGAAAAGTCTTCGGCAACGACCACCAACAGTAGTGGGCAGCGAAGGCTAAAGAGATGGAAAAGGTGGCAGCGATTGGTGACAGTAGACAGTTATTTAGACTTATTAAGGAAACTGGGTGAAAAAGGGCCAACTGCGGTTAGTGAGACCATAGTGGAGAAGGACCGATCTGCGATTCACTCGCAGGAGAGACGACTGGAACGATGGGTAGAACACTTCGAGGAACAGTTTAACTGGTCTCCAGCCACCAATGCGTTGCCCGCTATCCAGTCGGATCCTGAATGGGACATAGAGATAGGCCCCCTCAACACTAGGAGAAGTTGAGAAAGCGGTAGGTAACCTGAAATGAGGAAAGGCAGCAGGACCAGACGGACTACCTGCTGAGGTATACAAGGATGGTGGTAAGGTGCTCTTAGTCAGGTTAACGGAAATGTTAGCTAGTATATGAGAGTCAAATACGATCCCCTCTGACTGTTTATAAGTCACTGATTATTCCCGTCTTTAAGAAAGGCGAGAAGTCCTCTTGTGATAACCACAGAGGAATCAGCCTGACGAACATAGTGTCCAAGATCCTAGGTTCTATAATTCTCGGACATCTGAGTAGAGCTCGCGAACAGCAGGCCCGGCCACGGATGTATCGACCAAATATTCACATTGCGCCAGGTCCTGGAACATAGACACGCTTACCGACGCCCGACAGTAACTGTATTTCTTGATCTGAAGGCAGCATTCGACTCCGTTGATCGAAAAGTCTTATGGCAATGTCTCTCACTGGAAGGCGTGCCGAGTACGTACATCACCTTATTGAAGACTCTCTGCTCGAACACTTGTGGGCTTGTTACAGCCTATGGTTAGTTGTCCACGGAGCTATACTCATCGAGTGGTGTCCGTCAAGGGTGCCCACTCTCTCCATTCTTATTCAATTTGATCATCGATATTCTTATGGAGGTTACCCTCTTGCGTCACCTGACTAAACAGGGGTTGACCCAATCATAGTAGAATTTTCGTTAGACCTAGAATATGCAGATGAAAAAGTCCTGATAAGTGAAGACGCTGACAAGATGCAGAGTCTTCTGAACCCTTTGAGTGAGAATTTGAGAATGTTTGGGATACGTTTCTCACCACCCAAATGCAAATTGCTGCTGCAGGATTGGTCTTCAAGGATGCCCCACCACTGCTAACAATAGAGAGTGTAATGTTTGAGTATGTTGACCACTTCACTTGCCTAGGAAGTAGGATCAGCCCTGATGGCTCAGTGGCTGGTGAAATCTCTGCACGGATACAAAAGGCTCAATTGGCTTTTGCCAACTTACGCCACCTGTGACGCCGCCGTGATATCCGATTGTCTACTAAGGTTTGCGTATACTGCACAGCAGTCTGGTTTGTTCTGCTGTATGACTGTGAAACATGGCGATTGAAGGTGGAAGACATGAGAAGGCTTCAGGTGTTTGACCACCGTTGCCTTCGTAGTATAGGCCACCGTATTCCGAGGTGTCACCATGTAGGTAATGTAGAAGTTAGGTGTAGAGTTTTAGGGAGTTGAGGTGGGTCGGCTGACGGGGTTGTGAGCCTTGATGGACTGAGATGGCTAGTTGGGACATGTGTTACGTATGCCTAGTCGCCGATTGCCTCGTCACACAATGTTGGTGGAAGTAGTTCCAGGCTGGGAAAAGGTCCGAGGTGTTCAGACTAAAACATGGCACCAATGTGTGAAGTGTGTGACTGTTGGTTTGAGCCATGTAAGGGGGTGATGCAGACTAGGTGGTTGGGTTCGGCAGGACAAGAGGAACCAATGGTTGGAGACTCTATATGATATGGCTGAGAACCGATGTCAGTGGCGCAGATGTATACATACATTATCCTCATCTTAACGACGGTGTACCGAATCTCACCACTTTCTCCTTCTTCCTTTCTCTCTTTTCGTACTTTATATTTTTTTGACTGCATTCTCTTATCTTTATCTTGCACGTCACTGCCTTTTTACTTGATGTACTGACATGAGGAGTGGCAACTCGAACCATTACGCGATAATGCTTGGTTCTTTGTTGATATTGATTGATTGAAGTAAGATACCAATACAATTTTATGTAGTGAGAGTCGATGTGTTCTTCTAGACACGTGTGTTTGTCTATGTGTTGAATGGATTATGATTTCAAGTTGATATTCTTCACGGATTGATATTGGCTGGAATACCACTGAAAACCTAGGAGCATCTGATAGCTGTTTGGTCATGGTATGGGACTCCTAAACAGTGCGCACCCGTCACCGCATTAGGGACTTAGTATTTTATTTGAAAGATAGTTTCACATAAGATGTAATATTATTCTAATAATCTCTACTGGCCAATAGACCATGGCGAGTCATTTATTCTTAATCTTCGATCTATCATGAATGCAAAACTGTGATCACAAGCAGGTATATCGCAAGATCTTCAGATTTCACAAGTACACTGGGGTAGGCTAACTGTATTAAGTTCAGTGTTTGGAAAATTTCTAAATTTAATTAGGATGGTAGAATGCTAGCTGTTAAACTTGTAGAATATGGATTCAATCCCAAAAGACTAATAACAGGATAAGTTCTTACGAAAACTTTCTAACCCAGACATTGAGATGTGGTCATTGTAGAAGACGACTTAAGTGCACAAAATAGAAGGCTAAACGAGATTGATAGGAATCATCAACGCATGTATACGATAATATTGATCACCTGCCGAAACACTGTTCAAATAACGACCTATTTCTAGCTAATGCGAATTTAAAACATGAAGACTGACATTTTGCTATCAGACAGTCATCGAAATCAATCTGATGGTAAACGATATCATTAAAAATTATGGCAGGAGAGGAATGATGCAGGGAACAATTACATGATCATTAACGGCATATCTGTCTGAGGAACACAGTAAGAACCTATTTTAGAGACCTTCCTAAACAGCTCAGTACTGACGATACTGAGGCTGCACTCAAAGAGAATCTGGTTGGATAGTAGATGGAGCACTATAATTTCTCTCTTCATGTGAAAGGCGAGTGCGACTTAATGTAATAAAATGGCAATTTATACTATAATGTCACTTGATGCTGTCAGCTTTTTCGAATTGAATGGGTATACAGTGATACATTCTAGGAAGCATAGGAGGAAGCAGAAGTAGCTGAAGTATACAGTGGCAAAGAGGTCATGTTCTCATTCTGATTTGTGTTGGGTAAATAAGATGAAGGAAATATCAGTGACAGGTGACATCAGATACTTATTTGGACTAATAAAGAAGACTGATGCTTGGCAGTGGTTGATTCGTCAAACCATAGGGAAGAAAGATAAGTCCATGAATTACGCTCGCTGTCTGTCTTCATTGAGTTCAGGCGGCTTGTACAATATACAGATGATTTTGGGGAAAAGTTTAACTGTCCTCCAGTTGCTTTTCAACTACTGGTGATGAAGTTACTGTCAGAAATGAATGTTGACCTCTATCTGTCATCTCCCCTGGTAGTCTATGAGTCTGTAAGTAACCTGAAATGGAGAATGATAGATCTTGATCGGCGGCTGTTCAGTGTACTTAACAGCGGTAGTTCAGAATTATTGGTTAGGTTGGCTGAGGTATTAGCTGGGGTGTGGGAGTCAGATATAATCGCTTTCGACTGTTCCAACACTGATCACATTGTAATAACTGCATGGGAGACAACTTGATCAAAAAGGTTTATGAGATTCCGTGCTGCGTAATAATTCATCGGACAATTGTATTTAGATGATAGGTAAGCTGCAAAAGGCTGTTAAGTTCCACGTCTGTTTATGTATGTATCCACTGAATCTTTATCCTTCACTAGCCGCTGCACTTACTGATGATTTACAGTTACTGTGTTTCTTAACTTGAAGACAACGTTTGATACAGTCAGTTGAGAGGTTTTGTTGTGTTTTTGCCTCTGGGACTGGTACGCAACAAGTATACCCATGCTACTAAGGGTTCTGTTTTCGAATACTTATAATTACATTAAGGTTTGGTGTGAGCTACCCTCCTAGGTGTCAACATCTAATGATGTCTTCCAACGTCATCTTTATATTCTAATATCCTGATGTAATTATGGAGCTTATGCCTTCTTTTCCCTATTTATATAGGTAGGTAGCATATTATTGCTAGATAAATGTGCTAACGGCAATTAGAGTTACGTTGAAGCTTCAAATTACAACTTTACTTCAGTCTCTTCTTAACCCTGTTTTCATGAAGTTAGTAGTGATGGTGTCACTCCACCTGATGATGAAATTACCATGACAACATTTTAAGACTTAGAGAACAAACTGTTATCACCTTAATCTTAGGCTAACAGTCTTTTCTATCATTTCGAAAGCTTTGAATTATAATTTGAGAGATGGTTTACAATATTGTCTTGTTAAACATTTCAGTGGGAAGTGGGTGAGCACGTTGTTTACTTCACCTACCTTGAAAATTACTCCAGTTTTGGTAGTTGGTGTCCTGCTGAATTTCGGTATGCGAAAAAAATTTCTCGATTGACTTCCTACTAATTTTCTTTGAGCGTTCTGTGCAACAGCTGTTTCTGTCCTGTCTTATGACGCCGAGACATTGTCATTTAAGGCGGGATATTTAAGAAGGCTTTCAATATTTATTCTTTGTTTTCATTCTAGCATCGGTTTTTTATGTAACCATTTAACCAATCTATAATTTAGGCATAGAATACGAGTCCCATTTTTATTGATTTACGTAGCTATGGCTGAGCACTCGATTGCACGCAACCACATAATAGGGTAGGACAGGGTGGAAATCCTTAAAATTAAAATACCCGGGTGGAAGGATTGATAACTGAATCTTTGTTTAGCTAATCAACACCTAATACATGCAACAGGAATGATCCAGCTTCTGTTCCGGATATATAGTAAATTTTACTACCCATATCACAAAGGGGGCGAGGAAATTAGTACTATATAAAGGATATCTCAAAGTTGTGTGGTTAGCTTGGTATGACTATGGACAATAAATTATATCTGAAACATAATGCAGTAACGAATGCTGTTTCGCTGTGCGATAAATCTAATAAACCAATAAAAATGGAATCATATTCTACCACAGTACACACGTTTTACGTTTCAGTAGAATAAGAGGTCTGAGAGGCAAGCCTTTTGATGAGGTTACAAAATTTTTTGTATTGTGATTGTTGGGATGTGCATTCAGTATTCTAATCTGTAATCTATGATGCATGATTTTGATCGAAGTGGGATCACTTTAAACAGAAGTAAGAGTTTTTAGATGGAATCATGGTATTTATCTACCATGTATATGATTTGTTTTGATCCATGTAGGATTATAAGATTCCAAACATTTAAAGGTTCCCATGACACCAATAAAAAGCAACAATGCGCAGGAATATTTATAATTTTTGTTTGGTCTATATTTGTTTGCAAAATCCATCTTCACCAAAAATGGTCTGATTAAAATATTCGAATGTAAGCACTTGTGCACTGATGTAAACGTATAAATATAAGCCTTTAAATGAATTCAGTGGATGCCTGGTAGACGTTACTCAAAACATAAAGATCGATCGAATATAAGGACGAATAGTGTTTTAACATTGTATCAGCAGTATTCATATCAGATTAATTATTTCATATAACACAGTGATACAGTGTCATTATTTACTGGATAATGTTTCGAACAGAATTTATTGCTGATATATCATGTCAAAGTAATCATACGACTTTCAAACTTCCTTTATGCAATCCAACAGTTCATTCCGTTATCCTCCGGTTATCTGCAGTATGTGGTGTTAATTGTGTCAGGTATTGATCCAATGAACAAAGACTCTATGATGAATCTCTCTCTCCGTCTAGCTCTATTAGATTTCGGAATTACCAGCCTGTCCCATCCTATAGCTGGACTGTGGGTTAGTACATGCTGAGCGATAGCCGAGTTTTTACTTAAATTACTTATCTTAATAGGGTCTATTCTGACCGACGCCGATCGACTGCTTTGATCTATATGCTTGACCTGACAGCCATAACATGATATTCAACAGATTAGGTTATTCTTAATTGCTTCTGCTCGTATTCTTAGCCTACAAAGTTTGTCTCTGAGCGAGTTTGTGGGTTTAAACGCAACCCTAAGAATTCTACTTAAAATTTTCGATATTCCTTCTTTATGCGGCAACTATGCGGATAATTTAAATTCTCTCTTAGTTATTTTGCAATCACCACTAACGTTGCCACTCCTTTTATCAAACCTTATAATCTGTTTGATAAATTCTGGAGAGTAGTCAATAGGGAGTACTGTATTACTGTCCTAAATCAGATAAAGAATCTAATGTGAAGTATACTCTACCTTCGTCACCGTCTACTTCAACGTGCTATGCTGGGGGAAGTTGGATCAGATTGAAAGGCAGTTCAGGGTGGCCAAACAAGACGTGGCACTGGTTGACGAAGTCTTTACTGTTAGCCTGAGCTGGGCTGGGATATTTACACTACCTAGTCGGCGTCCCTAGACAATAGGAATCATTGGTTGGGAACTCTTGGTGACATGCTTGAAAATTGGTCACAGTGGCGCAGATGTATTCACTACTTGATATCTTCTAAAGCTTGAATATTCGCACTAACCGTTGTTTTCAGATTTTGTATTCTCTCACACACAGTTCTCTCTCTCTACTTTGATTTCATTGTTTTTCTACCCACCTATTCTTTGTGTACTACTGTGAAGTGTGGCAGCTTGAGCCAATGGTTTTGCGTCGATATTGTCAGTCAATCACTCTACCACAGTACCAAAGTTTTTACGCATACGTGAGCAGTATCTGAAGTTTGCTTTGAAGTTAATTTCAGAAGTAAAATGAACTAAGTTAGGTTTTTAATGGAAAATGTTTTTGAGTTGAAGATATTTAACTTTTCTGATTTTTCTGTCAATATTTTTGGTATAGGTATATTCTGTTTTTCTGAAAAGTATTTGTGACTTTACAGAAGAATATTCAGTAAACACGACGATATTGTTTTTTCAGTGATAAATAAATATTTGAGACCAAAATGTATCAGGAAATTTTGTCGGTTGTTTGTGTTGTAACTGATGTTTGTAAACTGTAAATAATACGTTATTAGTACTCATATTTGCAATGTCTACTTATATGGCATTTGTAATCTTTCATTATCTTGACCAATTCTATAGGCGATGGGTTATGGATGTTGCTTTTTAGGTTGTATTTTATACTCACTGTATCGTAAGTTGTTTTAGTCTTGCAATAACTAATAGTGGAGTTTATGGTTCATAGGTTGAAATATGTATCTTTCAGTTGATGGGTCGTGATTTCGAACCTTACGACGCCTACTGACGTTTGGAAGTCAGTTCGTATCACTTACTTTCATTTATAGTTTAATAAGCAATTTCTGTCGTTAATTTGTATCAGTGATATTATCGATATACTTACTAACGATATTATTGTCGTCGAGTTTTATGTTAAATTCTTTTAATTTTTTAAGTGCAACAATCATTACATCTAGCAGTAAGTAAACACATGATGTTACTATATTTTGTGAACGAGTTGAAGGCGCTTATTAAATGTAACTATTTTTTTGGTTGACATGTGATATAAGTCCATTTATAACCGACCATCCGATAAATTTTCGTTCTTTTTGATTTGTAGATATTGTTTCTCTGTACTTGATAGTTGGCCTGAATATACTGATGAAACAGGTTGTATATCTTGTATGGATGATTTATGCCGTTTAGCAGTACTACGCTGTCCTGACCAACCAATAAATGCGCCTAGCATGACTATTTTAAATTATTGCTCAGAAATTGGGCAATTTAGAAGGTGGCCTCGGAGTCATCGAGTAGTATACTCAAATGGGCATTGCCGTTTTAATGGTATCAAAGAAGTCCAAATTAAACCGAATGAAAGACAAATGTTAGATTTAGTAGAAATACCAGTGCATCAATTGCCTTTAGTTAGGTAAGCTTTGTTTGACACTAAATAGTGAAGTGATAGTTATCAACGCTACATTTATATAATTTGAATATCCTGTTTTTCAATTTCCATCTGAATTTTGTAAATATCACTAACTTTCATGTATTCTGCAAACCAAGGGGTAAATTATGAATGAAACGGTGCATACATGTAGATCAATGTGTCATTATGATAATGATGGATAGTAGCTGGCAGTGAAATCCAGAACGCATATTTAGCCCCAGCTGATGAGTCCCAGACGATACGAAACGCACATCCTGGATCCCACTCCTAGCCACTATTCATTATCAATATTAAATTAGAACACAGACAGTATTGAGGCATCCGCACAGGAGCCCATATATCGATAGAAATCGATTAATTCGATCCAGTCAACGACGAGACAATACAAGTAGCAACAAACTGTCATTATGTTGCTTAGAGTTTCAATCTTCTAGTACACCTAACTATGATAAAGTGAAGAACTGCAACTGACTGGTGTATTTACGGTATTCTAAAGTCAAATCATAATTTGCTCCCGATTCAGTGTTTTTTGGAACTATCAATAACTTTGATTTAGCAAATTGATTCATGTAAAATATCCATTGACCGAATTGTTAGAGTAATCACTTCACTGGGGATTTTTCTTTGAGCTCACAGCTTTTGTGATTAACAACACTGGTTGGTGAGACATAACTTTTCCCAAGGCTAAAAGTACGTCTTACTGCCAATTTCTTCGAAATCTTGGTTCATAGCAGGATACAGGTAATATTGATCAAATCTTTAATTGAACTGTGGGGCTTTAGTCAGCATTTTACAACTGAACACTGTGGTGCATTTCAATGGGTAACCGATTTGTTTACTATTGGAAGTGCCTACTCGATGACTTCATTTTGTTCTTCTCGATTCAGCAATATAGTATGAAGGCGAACAGTGTATTCAAGCTCAATATTCCAATCCTAACAACTTGATGCTTGGATCTTGACAGTTATAATACATCAGTATGGAAGTCGCTTCCTATGCAACTCCATTGTAAACAGTTCTTACTTTTAACATTTACCTTCTTATAATATGATGCTCTCAGAAAACTTTCAACTTGTTACTGTGTGATGTGAAAGGACAACCATGTAGAATGAGACAAAAAAACCTTGTTTGTTTTTTTCTTCTCCTTTGTACACTTAAGAAAGCTAGATTTATTATTCGTTGGTGTTTGTCAAGCTTTGAGGTTTGTTCTTCAGCTTTTCACTACTTCTACATGAATTCAATGCTGATGTGTTCACCTAACTTAGTGATCAAACGTCCAAGAACAAATCTCAAAGCTCGGAAAACATCAAACAATTATCATTTTCATCCTGAGCTAAAAATCTTCTCTACTATTTCAGAGTTAGTTTTGTAACAGTTTTATATTAACATTTTAAGCAAACTATACAATACATCAGGAATTAACATTTGTTTTACCGAGGCCTAATAAAAAATCAGTAATTCATAATATTGTAACATACAAAAGAGAGTTTTTAGAAACCATGTATGTTTTTCGGGGTATATTTCTATACTATTAGAAAAGGTTATACAAGATGTATTTTTACTTGTGTAATCCTGGCGTAGTATATTAGAACAAATAACAAAATAAACAAATATTTTGTATTATTCCTCAACCTGAAAACTTAGTGTCAGATTCATACTCTTGAAAAGGATCTTCCTAGCAAGATCGAAACGTTGAGGAATAATACAAAATATTTGTTTATTTTGTTATTTGTTTTAATATACTACGCCGGGATTACACAAGTAAAAATACATCCTATACAATGAATCATACTAACTCGGTGCCCAAGTTTTTTCAAACTATCTAGTCCATTGTTGGTCAGGATACCTTCAAAGGTTATACAAGTGTAAAAGTATTATCGTTTCTTCTTGCCAGCGTCAATAGTAACAAACCAGATTCGACACTGGTTGTTCTAGTTGGTTATCAAACTATTCTTCTGTAGTCGACGAGCACTTGCAAGGTACATATAAACTATTCAGCAAGTTTTGTAATTAAGAGTCATCATTTCGACTATCTGTGATTTGGCAGAGTTGTACTGATACTGCATGATGATTGAAGGTGAAATGAAATTCTGGACCGTGGTGCAATTCGAACATGCGGCTATCGGTGGTCACCGTTCTTCTGCACGGATGTTATCGTAGCCTAACAGCACAACAAAGGTTTGGTTCTAGGTGATTATAGTGCCATTAACTTCATTACTATGTTAGTCAATATTTTGGCGCATTCTACAATCAGATGGACTGAGTGATAACCTCTACAGAAGCACCGATCCCCAACTATTTTACAGTCACTGCACGGTCATTCTAGAAAGCGTTTTGAATATGTGAGGGGCTTTGACTAAAAGTACTCAAGACTACTTCACGAATGAGTTAAAATTATTTGGTTATTTACCTTTGTAGATTTTTTCTGCTTAAAATACATTCATGTTGGGAAAGGTTTAGGAATAATAGCCAGCAACAATTAATTTTCAAATCTAATCCATGGTAATCAGTGCAATTCGTTCCTGACTCAGATTTGAAAAGTTTGTGCGGACTATTATGTGAAAGGTAGATGAATATCTGGGTCAGCTAATAGGTTGTACAGTAGGGCATATGTTAATGATATATGTACAGTTAGAGTTCAGAAGTCTGTTGATCTTTCAATTTTACTTCCTAATTTTTTTCAGATTAGTAACTATACCTCCAATACCAAGTCATTTTATACCTCATTCAATTTCTAAAGGCGCTGCTGAAAATGTAGTGCCACTCAGTAAAAGTCGTGTAGTTGTTATTCGAACTGGTCGGACACAATCAAAACAATCTGATGTTTATGCTTTAGATTCTCCGAAATCTACTGGTCCATTTGTTTATAATCCTTTCCAAAATGATAATCATTGTAGCTCGAAAAATTCAGGTATGGTTATTTTATATTTTCGTGTTGAAATATACTTTTACCACTGAAATTCTTGACCGTTCCGGCTTTTAATATATCGTAGTGGTACGCAGACATATCCAGCCGATGATTCCTAAGTGGGAAGGAAACGTGCATCCTGAACTACACTTCTAGACCTTACTATCTTTGTTTTTATCATTTTGAGTTATCTGTTCAAGAATTCGGTGTGCACTACCATTCACTGTATTTACTATTCAGTCATTGAGTGAGCTATGACTTGGTTCTCCTATTTCAATCTGGTGGTCACTTATGGTTTTATTATTATTATTATTTCATGTAAACTTACGTGTTATTTGTAAACGTTTACGCATAATGTGGTCATGCGAACGTGAGCATACACTTTATGAAACGACTAAAAGACTAATTTATTTAGTCAGCCTGTTACTTTGAAACTGTAATGGTGACTGAAATTCCTGTAAGTTGTTCAGCTACGTTTATTGATTATGAAAAGCGGTGTTATTCGATTTGCAGTCACAATTTCAGATTGTAAATAGCTTTGTAGTACCTTAAGCTGTTTCAGCAGTCTAATTTTACTTATTAGCCGACGTTCGGCTGGCGTAGATTAAAGTTTAGTATTTGAAAGTCTAAATGGTCACAGGAATGCCAGTATTTTGTATCATGTAGTGCTAACTTCGTAAATTCTCTTTATGTCGTCTAGACCTTTTCATCTTCAGTGTCCTCATTCTAACGTAAATCAAACAGCAGACAAAATTGTAAGTATCTCTGTCGTCGTGTGTCTTTACGGGGAATGAAAGTCCTGCTAGGTAAAGATGGTAGCAAGATGTCCTTTCTGGACACACTAATTGGCAATTTGAGGCCGCTTTAGGTGTGAAGTGTTTGAGCGCGTTGGTCACTTCAGTTACTTAGGAAAGTCGGATCAGCCCTGCTTTGAGGGATCAGTGAATAACGAAATCTCGACGTAGGTGCAAACGGCTTATTTGACTTCCACCAACTTATGCCATCCATGTTTTGACCGTGACCAGTGCACTGCGCTTCTATTAGTTTCGCTCTACTATATGATTTTGAAACATGTCATTTAAAAGCAGAGGACATGAGGTGGTTCCCGTTGTTCTACTACCGTTACCTTCGTAACGCTGACTGTGTCACGCTGTGCCACCAAGTCAGCAATGTAGACGTCAGCGGTAGTGTTTATAACATAGGTGAACGGTCGGTCCGTGAGGCTGTCAACTTTCATCGATTCAGGTGACTAGGACGTGTTACGCATATCCAGTCACCGAGTGTCCAATCGTGTTATGCTAACTGAAGTAGGTTCACAGAATAGAAAAGGTTAAAAGTGGCTAGACTGGAACACAACACTAGTCAATGAAGTCTTTCACTGTTTGTTTGAGCCATGTAGAGAAATGTCGACTTCCCATAACAGTGAAAACTCGTGGTTGCAGACTGTAGAAGGTATGGCTGAGAATCGATCTCAATGGTGCATATGCATTCACATTTATCCTCATCGTAATCGTCGTGCTGAACTTCACCATTCTCTCATTCCTTCTTGCTCTCTTTCCCACGAACTTCTATCACTTACGACTACTTTCTTCTCTACTTGTTTATCTTTTATATTTTGGTATATTCTCGCTTGATGTGCTGATATAGGGTGTGGCAAATCGGACTGTTACGCTGTAATTCCACGTCAGTGTTCATATTCTCCCTCTTTCTAATAAGTCTCGCGACTAATAGTTGGTTGTTTTCAGAGATACTATCAGTTTCAGTGAAGTGTTGCATATACGCTTGCTGTTTCCTTCAAGTTTGTTTCGAGGGCACTTATTTGGGCTCACAAAGTGTTGACATTAGGCTTTATTGGTATCCGAGTTTCACTACTTTTTGTAGTCTCTACTCTATTACTTAAGTAGATCATCATTACCATTTGTTAATCTGCTGATAGGTGAGAAAATTTCGTCACAATACAAATTGAATTGCGGATAAAAGGATGCATCCTTGTTATCTCCAACCATACTCTCGTCACTATAAATTAGGGGCAGATCTTTCTCACCAAGTTTATTCCCAAGTGAACGCACTCCGTTGGAGTTTCGGTGATAACCAAAGACCTTACTAAGCCTTTAAACCTTTTAGGTTCACGAGAAATTCAGTTAGATTGCGTCTGGGATTAGCTAATATCCGGTGTCTTATAATGAAAGTAGCTGCATACAGTTTGTAATCGATTTCTTACTAGCACCAACTTCTAGCCAAGCCGTCGGCGATGTGGTATTTGGCATTTCTTCCCTGCCTCTCAATTCTCTTCTGAAGTATATCGCATTAAAGTTAGTTACTGGTAACGTTAGTGTATATTGTACTACCAGTGCTTCTGGAATACCTTTTGAATCTTCTATCATGTTTCATTATGTCTCAATCTTGTGTTGCACTTTTCGGTCAAAAAAATTATCTTTTGAGACAAGTCAAATTGAGGGAATGAAGTGTTTTAAGAGGCCAAATGTTTGTTCTATTCCATTCAAGGTACGAGAAGCACATACAACAGCTTTTTCACTGCTGTTTAGGAAATTTTAAGACGTGACAATATCAGACCATATTCAGATGTATATCCAGTAATGAAAATTTTAACATTGAAATCATATTATGTGTGTTATGTATCTCACATGAACAATGAATCCCCCTCGTCGAATACATTGAGGTATTGAGGAAACCAGTCCCGTTTCATGTTCCTACACAGTGGATCACTCAGTAATACACGCTGATAATGAATTTCTGGCATTATGAAAGACATAGTGTTAACATACGACGTAGAATTACAGCGTAACAGTCCGATTTGCCACACCCTATATCAGCACATCAAGCGAGAATATACCAAAATATAAAAGATAAACAAGTAGAGAAGAAAGTAGTCGTAAGTGATAGAAGTTCGTGGGAAAGAGAGCAAGGAGGAATGAGAGAATGGTGAAGTTCAGCACGACGATTACGATGAGGATAAATGTGAATGCATATGCACCATTGAGATCGATTCTCAGCCATACCTTCTACAGTTTGCAACCACGAGTTTTCACTGTTATGGGAAGTCAACATTTCTCTACATGGCTCAAACAAACAGTGAAAGACTTCATTGACTAGTGTTGTGTTCCAGTCTAGCCACTTTTAACCTTTTCTATTCTGTGAACCTACTTCAGTTGGCACAACACGACTGAGCAGGTATGGTTTACTTTAGATAAAATTGACATCCATATTTTGCGAATTTGAAGTAAAGATATTCTGTCGAATAAATGAGAAATGGAAACTTATTTTTTTTTTATCCTATCTAGTCAGACGTTTTGTAGGAGAAAATATCTAGTGAAGTGAATAATTTGAGTACGCTTTCATACGTTTATTGTATCATCTGGCTAAAATGCACTTTCAAGTTGTGTAACTTACAGTCTGTTGGCAATTCGCTCGATAATGTCGAGTTCTTTTCTTGATACTGAATGATAGTGAAGTAATTTTATGTGGATATCTGTAGGTATCAGTTGTGAAATGCTACCTGAAACTTGACTTATCTTTTATGAGATTATCAGCATCTCTAACGTTAATTTCAGAGCAACTTTGACTAAGATGTCTTATTGTGTAGTAGTAGCTAAGAAGGATCTTTCAAAGCATTGTTCAGTTTATCAGAAGAACTCAGGATCTACTTACCTCTCGGGTAACTACTATTAGTGCAGCCAATAAAAGAATATTTAGCCTTTCTGCTAGAGAGATAATAGCTTTGGTATATTTAGTTGAACCTATGAGTACTTTGAATCTAATACAGGTATGAAGTTAGACTTTTAAAAAGATGGATTTGAGTGAGATTGCATCAGTTTGACTTGTCTGCAAAAATGGATGCATGCGTCTAATGTACACGCTCTAATAATGAAAAATATATGGCATGTGAAATGATTAATTGTTGCACGATAAAAGCTTCACTTAGAAATGCAGAAAAAAGCTCATATATGACTGGTCTATTCAACCCGAACCAACTCTAAGTTATGCAGATTTGGCAGTGATACTTCCTGAATTGAACTAGACGGTTAACTCTTCCAGTAGGTTCTAACACATTTTTGGAAGTGTTAATATCACTATGGTTCGCCTGGTTGAATCGATTAGCATCCAAGTCTGTGCCTCTTGTTTCGGGAAGTCGGAGCGATATTTCATGTCATACTAAGTTGGAAGTGAGCGATTTCGCCATTACCACACTTTTGCTTTCACAGTTAATTTTGAATGTCACTTATGTTCAAATTTTATGATTTCCTTTCGAAGGAACTGCATTGAGACTTCTTATGTAGGTTTTTCTAGGAATAGCAATCACCTTATTCACTAGTGCTACCGTTGACACTACATGAATGAGCAAAATTTAATAAAACTTTGTGAACCGCAGTATCGTCAATTAAGAGTTTTGTATATTTAATGTGATTACAGGTCTTGTGCATAATTCACCTTGAGAGAGTCGACCGCGAATCATTACACTTGCATTGGTCGGCTATGGTTTCTTTCCCACTGTATCGTCTTCCTATTTGGTTTGATTATCAGCATGGTTGACATTTTTCAGACCGAAGAGAGAAACAGGATATGTGGACCCGTCCAATATCATTACTCCATCTCTCAATCTTTCACATCTATGTTTCAATTTATCAGTATTGCACACGTTCACCAGAGTATCCAGATCCCAGTTGATACATTTGTTTGCTGATTTAATTTACCTGTAATGTCGACAGAACCTGAACCATACTGAATGAAAAAATTGTTACTTTATGTCTATGTCAACAGGGTTATGTGAAGAATAGTGAGATGGAAGGAAGTTAACCTCATATCATAATTCCACAGACAGACATATGAGCGTAAAACCTGGCACAAAGTGCTTCACTTCAATTTGTTGCATTTTCCAGCAACATGCAAAGAAGAGGAGGGGAGGGGTTGGAAAAGTGATATAAAAGTAAACAAAAGTGTATGAGCGTGCAAAGAATAAAAAGATGAAGGTTGGTGAAAACATTCGAGACTCCTGAGCTCACTAAAAACTTCATCACATAAGCTGCTGTGACTGATTTTTAACCAAACCGCCAAGCGTCCCTGACCATTGATACCCGTTACCTTGATGACCCCAACCACTCTACATAGACTTCCCTACGTGTGTTACACGAACAACTGAAGCCTTCTAACACTTGTGCCTAGTTTCAGTTAGGTCATCAATCACCTTCTGGCAAAATCTTTCGGCTGGTATCGCATGTCTAAGTGGGTGGTGACTCGGTATATGCAGCATATATTCAAAGCACTCAACCAGCGAAAAGTTCACAACCTCCTTAACTTACGTGTTTACCTTGCCTAATAGTGTACACCTAATTCCAACATTGCTCATAAAACGAAAATATTACGTAATAATGATTTATGTCTAATGTCTTGTAGCACAAACTCGAAGATTTACTGGCAAAACTAACAAGGTGACAGAAGAGGCGAGGCAGGGCAGCGAAGACGGGACTTCCTTCAGGTGAACGTAGAGAAGACACAGGTGATGAAGATACCTAACCAACAACAACAACAACAACAACAACAAGCACCGATCACCATCAACGGGGGAAATCTAAAAGAAGTTGTCTCTTTCACCCACCTACTTGGGCAGCATCGTTTCAACTACAGGCGGCGGCGGCGGCGGCGGCACCAATGAGGATGTCAAAGCCAGGATTGGAAAAGCAGGACCGGACTTCATTAACCTGAAACCAGTGTGGAGATTCACTGCACTCAGCATTAAGCGTGAACAAGATCCGGATTTTCAACACTAATTCAGTCAAGTCAGTGCTTCCGTATGATAGTTGAGTGACTTGGCGTGTTACGTAAAGCATTTCCAACAGACTACAAACATTCATCAACAGCTGCCACCTACGCTCACTCGATACTGAAGATCAGATCGAATGGCCAGAAAGAGTAAGTAAAGTAACAAGGAACCCTGGCATGGCAACGAACCAACCAAGAACCCATCACACCGCTCAACAAATATGCAGAAGAAAGTGGAGATGGGTTGGATTGGACATACACTGAGAAGGCCGACTGGGGACATCACGCGCCAGGCCCTCGAGTGGAACACGAAGGGGAAACGACGAGTTGGGCGTCCGAGGCTGACGTGGGGGAGATCATGCGAGGAAGAAATGAGAGCTTCCGGGCTGTCGTGGAACCAGGTTCAAAAGTTTGCAGGGAACAGAGTGCACTGGAGACGTACTACTGAAGCCCTATGTTGCATTAGGAACCTATGGGACAAATAATGATTAATAATAGTAATAATGGATGCATGCAAGTGTGGAAACTAACCTTCTTACGGATGTCATCTATACCAATACATTGAATGAAATCGGTTCGGGAAATGTCGTTTTCCGATTTAGACCTCATGAGACAGCCAAAACTGTCGTTTTGCGAGCCTTAGTGGTATGGCTCAGTTGATTTCAGTAACACAAATATGTTCACACTATCTTTATCTAGACCTTAGTCTGTCATGTATTTATTTACTTTATCTCCTCCTCCTTGTTTTCACCTTGTAAATTCTCGCTTTGCTTATTTGAAGTGTGATAACGTAAATCGTTAGACAACTGTTTCTTTCCCTATATGGATAATACCTGCCTATCGTTTTCATCAGAATGCAGTTCATGTAGTTGGAATAATTGAAATAGAACAGTAAAACCGAGTAATTGTTTGTGAACAATTTTAAACAAAAAACATATTTGCGCAAATCAAAATACTGTAGAGTTTGGCTGATTAATTTCTCCAACAAAATAGGAAACTGTCTAACTAAGAGAAATTCAACCGCACAGCAGCATTAATCAAAAGTTGAAGCGTGATACCCCTTACTAGTTGGTAAAAATTAAAGAGTCAGCCAAGCATTTCATGCTTTCCAAGATCATGAAAGCATATATTCTAAAATTCTACAAACGATTTCATAGGTCAAACATGTGAACCTAATAACTCGTGTTGGTACTTAGTGATTTGCGTGCTTTCTATGACTTTCTTAAAGGCATATTTATCAGTGGTAAAACTTTAAAATTGTTCAATTTTTGAAGATTCGAACCTTGAACGCATATATACATACATATTATATGAGAACCTTCATTGTGCAGGTGACTTTTTTCTTTTCTTTAAAGTGTCTATATTATGAAAATGTTTTCTTTTTTTTCTAGTCGTTGATTGGGTCTGTGAAGAACCTGGATATATTGAATTGGTTGTTGACAATAAGTTGCCCATTGATTTAAGAATATCTGGTGTGGTAAGTGTACATTAATGTTTAATTAACGATAGAATATGAGAACCGTACTGTTTGTGATACAATTCTGGTCATCGGTTGTGTTATTTTTGAGTTCATCATGCATTTTTATGTCTTTTGTCACACTCTTGGTTTCTATGAATAGCTGAATGCTACAAACAGTAATGGAATTATACCTATATGATGGTACAGCTAGTTTCGCAATAATTTGTTTTTGAATGATTAAGCAGATGGCATCATTTCTAAACCTTGATGTGAATTAATATATCCAAATTAGAATTTTTCAATATCATTGGAGAAAAATCAAATGTATAAGTATAAAGTGACCATGAACAACCTTTTTGAGGCAACTTTCAAGCTATGTCCATTGTATCATCTCTGAAAACACTGGCACTACCCTGTGAAATATCAAATGAAAGAACTGAAACGGAATTACGATCTACCGCAGTGCGCAAATTCTTCTCCCATATAAACCGACACTACCCAGCTGTCGAATTGGATGAAATAGATTGAAAGTTGAATGACTGAACCAATGAACTGTTAATTCGCTTCCTTGAATTCTTTATGTTTGTGGTCACTTTCCAAGTAACTAAGTCGCACGAATCAGCATATTATGATATTTTATTCATACGAAGTAAAGTTGGCTTTAAAAGTCTTATATTTTGTCTTCAATTTTCAAAATTGGAGTTAAGAAAAATAAGGAAATAGCAATAACGGATAGTGACCACCAGTAGAACTCAGAATGCGCATTTCGGGCTACTTGGGACGCGTCAGCTGGATGTACCTACCTTCCATTGGGCGATTCGTTTTGATCTAGCTAAAACTTTAGGCCAGGACCGATCGCTCCAAATCACAGAGAGTTATTCACTAGGTCACTGAGTCGCAGTAACCACTTCTTGGGCGACGAGTATACCTGACATGACCTAGTGGATAACGTTCCGGTGTTTGAAGCGATGGGTTCTGAGGTCAAGTCTTAGGGGGAACAACATCGTTCACTGCCAGGTGGCTACATCCAACTGACAATTTCTTAATAGGATGAAGCGTGCGTCCTGGATTCCACTGCTAACTTCTATTCATAATTACTACCAAACTGAAATTATAAGCAATACCAAGGCATCTGCTCCGGAGCTCATATTCCAACAGAGACCAATCATTTCGTTACAGTCAATGATGGGGAATTAAAAGCAATAACGTAAAATAAAAAATAACTAAATCAGTTTTAAATCATTGGTTACATTTGGTAAAGAAGGTGAATTTATGCTTTACTGTGGTGTGTGATGATCAACAGTATGACTATGGTTAGTGAGATGTTGTCTTCTGAAATCCAAAACTTTTGACAATTTGTAGGCAACGTAAAGTTGAACCCTTCATTATCGGTCCACTTGAAATTGTATCGTTTTATACTTTCAAATTTATGTCGGAGGTTGTTTGAAGTCATTTATTATCTGATAGCCTTTTTAGTTGCTCATGTTGCCGTCGTCAAGTCGTGCCAGTTAATTGTAGATTAGTGTCTGTCACATTGTTCTTAATTGCATCATAATTTTTGGTATTTGTAGGCTCATACTAGATTAATACTACACTTGTGTTTTATATTGGGTGTCTCCAGGCGCCATACGAAACCCGATTTTTTCTACATGCCATAGAATCTGCACTATCTGCATTCCTGATGCTGTGGAAGATGAAATTTATTTCCTGAAAAATGTTTTGATTGAAAACCAGTAAGCCTAGCGTTTCTTTGTTAAAGCTATGAAACTGAAAGCAAATGATCATCCTGCTTCCACAACTCTTAAGACACGTCAGCAGATATAATGAGTAATCGTGTGGCATACTTTCTATGCTGCCAAACTCAGATTAACTTTCTTTGTCTACCCAATGCTTCGATTATGCATGTGACATAAGCTAGCTTCCTTGGCCACCTCGATGTGTGTTTACGATATCATCTGCTGCAGTGGAGTAGTTTATTGGTCGTATTCAGTCTTCTCTTTCCAAACGCATTTCTGAACTTATGACAGCTTGTATTATGCGGTTTGTGGAGATTAAGTAATTTTTCAAGTCGGTGTTCATCATGGACTGCCATCAGTTGAAGGAAGATTGACAACCTGGGAACACTGGACAGCTGTTTCGTCCTAGGACGTGTCTCCTCAGCAGTGCGCACCCATGACCGCTACAGGGGTCGAACCCAGGGCCTTCAGGTTCTGCGGCCAGCACTTCTCCATTAAGGCATTAGGTTGAATTCACATGGTTCATATTTTTCAACTTCTGTCGGTTCACAACATAGAGCGTCCATCACTCAGTGTCATTCATGAGTATTTGTCCTCATGGCCACCAGGTTTGCCCGATGGGTTCAGTGGTAACGTGCTGGCCACTGAACCTGAAGGTGCTGGGTCCGATCCCTGGTGGGGTTATGGGTGCGCACTGCTGACAAGTCACATACTAGGACGAAACAGCTGTCCGGTGATCCCAGGTTTCCAATCTTCCGCCGACTGATATCAGTCCATGATTGGATATCAACCTCAAAAATATACCCTATACCATGAAAAAGGAGCGCACCTCACAGATCTATTGAAGAACATTGGATCGATTATGACCACTGGCTAAAGGCAGAAAATAAATTCAGTTTCATCTATGGAGTTCATGAAAGCGTCGTAAAAGGTGTATCCCTGTAACTTCTTCAAACCGCCGGAAGCCATGGCAATCAATATTTTGAAACCTCAACTCTGTTGAGAAAAATTTACTTATCCACTTGGGTTACGATTCACATGACCAGAAAAATCTTTTCTTTCCTAACTTTTCACACTTTACGTTCTTCCACCCCTATAATCCTGATTTCTCATTATATTCATCAGTCCCTTTTACCATGTTGCTTAGTAACCAAATATTGCTTCTATTTTGATGTCTTCTTCTCATTACTATTTTCAGTATTCAGCAATTTTTTTGACAGTCCGCTGATTTATAATCGAAACGAAACTTTATTAAAAATATTTTACGAAACATTCTCTGTTATCATGTGAATGTAATATTTATATGCTTTTGCACAACTTGAGAATGAAATCACGGAAAAAGTGATTCTTCGCTAGACGTCTTTTGTTTGATTTACATCATTACCTAATAGTAGAATTTTGAACTGTTTTGTTTTATTTACACTAAATGTTAGAATCTAACGTCTTTAACACAGTTTTACAACATAGTTTGCATGAAACAATTGAGTTTACTGGGGTTCTTGGTTATTGATTAGTGGGAATGTGATTATTATTGAGTTTAACCACTTAAAAGCACCCAAACTGCATAATTTATACTTTTTGCATTTAGGGTTTTCATTTCTCTTATTTACTTAGTAGGTTTAATTGTGAAATGCCTTTAGTAAAGGTGTCTATTTATTGTAGTCATCCGAAGTTTACATAATATACGTCCTACAGGTTTATGATTACATAATTGTTCCCCTTCCCACTAGTTTGTTTACTTGTGATATTAAAGATATGTAAAGTCTACTCTTAAACCAAAAACGTTGTAGATTGGTAAATATTCTCTTAATAGTTTATCACTTCAGTTATTCTTGTTATCTTGAAACGCATTCATCCAATTGTTTGACTTCTAATTATTTAGTAAAAATATGAGTCCTAAAACTGTGAGATTCAGCGTAGGGTGAATGGGAGTCTTTTTCCTCAGTAGCTGCTAACATTTCTCCAATAACGAAACATACTGCCGATATCAAAAGTGTACAGCTGTCAATAGTTTTGTGGTATTGGAATGCGATCCTTCTACTAGGTCAAAATTTTTGGACGTTATATTTGAAGAACGAACAAACAGTATTTTTGTCGCTGTATGCTTATCCCTCACAAATCTTATTACACAAGTAAAAAATATTTTTAGTTGGTATTTTATCAGATCTTAAAATTTGCATCTCAAACTGTGCCTCGATATTAGTCTTGTTATTTTACTTCAAAACATCTCAGCTTCTACTTAAATGAAGTCAACCGACATATCATATCCTCGTTGATATCGGTTCATGTGGATGAATGCAAGCAATAACTTCAATTGCAACAAACTGGAAATACTACAACAAGCAAGCTCAAAAACTGCAAGAAATTCCCTGGAAGAATAGTATTCCAGTCCAATGGATGTCAATAGACACATGGCCATTGACCACGATATACAGGTTACTAGACGGTATCTGTCAACTGAAAATCAATCAAGCCAACTGATAATCAGACATTAGATCAACAGCATAGGTAAAAGGATAACAGAAGTTGTAGAGATCAACCTGTTATAAGAAAGAATGACAGGTCACCTCTACCCACAAGCCAGTAATGTTAAAGGTTGGCAGCTGTCTTCTTAAAGAAGTAAATGGCAATGACGTTGCCTAACCTGATGACGAAACATACAAGAACAAATCTCAAGTCTTGTAAAACACCAAATGGTTATTATTTGTATCCTAAGCTAATATCTTATCTACTACTTTTCAATGTTTTTAGTGTTTTTTTAATATCTTGATGGATATTTTTGTTATTACTATGACTAATATGGTCTTTTAAATGTATTTTGTATTTAATTGTCTTTTTCTCTACCAATAAAGTATGTGGAACTCATGCCAACTAATGGTGGACCTACGAAAGAAGCATCAATTAGTCGTCTATCATCAGTAACTTCAGACTATGACTCATCCCTTGGTAGTAGTACTATGAATGGATGTTCAGAGACTTCATCAAGTTTTATTCACTTAGAGGCTGTATGCCTGATTGTAAAAACATCTCAGTCCGTGAAAGTAATACAAACTAAACATTTGGCTAATCCTCAGTTTGAAGATGCAAAAACTCAAGTTAAAGAGGTATTATGATTTAATTTTGCATTTTCAATCATATATATGTATACATGTATATATTTGACGTTTGATGACAGATGCAATGGAAATAGGACTTCAAGAAATTTAATTTAGTCAAACCAATCAAATTTATTAATTAAATCCCTTAACTGTTAGTTTTTTTCTTGATATGGTAATTACGTTTGCTGAGTTTTCGCTAACTTTTATTCTTTTACAAATGTGGCCTATTTCTTAATCACCTAATGTATATTTCAGTGAAACTTCACTAATGTTTCTTGATGTTTAAGATTATTAGTAACTAACATCAAGGTAGTTTTCCTAATTTCTAGTACGGGTTTATGCTCTCTGCTTACAGTTGATTTATCGTATTCAAATTAACGCACTCCATATTGAAGGTTAGGTTTCTTGTCTGGCAGTGCAAATGTCAATCGTGATTGGGAATAGCCACTTAAGACCAAAGACTAATGTTCTTGGCTTCTGAGAACTATAATTGGTCTTTGCAGATGATTTATATCACAGTAGATCGACCCTGCTGTCGAAAATCAGCAGTCATCGCCGGTTTAGTTGGAAATTATCTTTCCATTTCTTTGAAGAATGATATATGTATATATATATATATATATATATATATATATATATATATATGCAGAGATAATGTACGTTTCTTATACAATTTCCTCAGGGTGGCTTCAGTGGTCAGCTGGAAAGTGGTTGCCTTTTAGAAGAAGCTGATTTTTATCGTCAATTCCCTAATTGTAACGCGGAACGTTTTTGGCGGAGATCCACTTCAGATGTAAATTGTAAATTGCCTTCACGTACTAGTGGAATCAGATTGTCGATTGCTGTCGTTCCAACTTTAGATATGCTGCTTTCTGGTTCTTCATCAGATCAGTCAAATACATCCAATCAAGTAAGTTTAAAACTTATCCTTATCCTTATTATTGTCATAACGTTTACTGCTGTAGTGACGTTTACGACATTAGGGCAGTAACCCATAGTTTGTTATTTTTATCGCTCAACTTCACTGAATCAGCATTGCTCATTCGGCGCCTCTCAACTTTCTTTTTCGACTAAAAAAGTCTTATCTTGTAAGATGAGCTGGTTTTGATCATCCCTTCGTAGATGGCTGAAGTGTTCAAGTAAAGGATTATTCAAACATTTCACAATTTAACTGAACCTTTAACGCTATGGCTTTATAGCTTATTTATTTGACTGTTAACTATCCAAATATCGCTTTCAGACCTCTTCGTTTCCTATTTTCTAAGCAACTTGAAATTTCACAATGTTTTGTGCGTCCTTTTTTCCAACTACGTAGTTTTCAATGTTCCTCCAACTAATGTCAGTCCATGATAAATACTAACCTGAAATCAACAAATAAATCCTTACAAGCCTCCAAATTAAACATGGGTATAATGTTTAACAGCTTATGCTGACTTAAACTATTTCGTTTTAGTTTATTAGAAATATCACACAGTGAAACAGTATTATATACTGGATAAGGTTTCGGACATAATTTATAGTCCATATACATATCCTGTCATGTGATATGAATATGGACAATGAATTATGTCCGGAACTGACTACAATGGAATTACAATCTATCACAGTGCCCAACAGCCGATTAACTCTATGTAATGTTCTCTAAATACATAAATTTAATGTTTCTTCCCTCTTTCTTCGATCTATGGAAGTGCAAACATGGCAGCTGACTAGGTTACAAAGAACTATTTCTTTAGAGTAATGCATTGAGTAACACGTTTATTTCTGCTATGTTTATTCCAGAAAGTAATAATGTTTTTCTAGAAAGTCTTGTGGTCAGTCTGTGAGTTAACATTAACGTGGAAATTGGCATATTTTTATAACAGTTCAACTTGCCACAGCTTATATCAGCACATCAAGTTACAAGGTAACAAGATCAAATAAGCTTATCAATTTAAGCATTATACACTGTCAAGTCGACCTTTGCAGGTGATTACAAATTATTTTATCTGCATTTTCATTCAGTTGAACTAATTATGCTTTTAGCGCTTGTTATCTTGACTAGGCACAGAAAAAGTTACACGAAACCCAACAGCTTTTATGTGGAGTCCTGTTAGTCGAATGCTAAAAATGATTGTGCAAAGATGAATTTCATTTATAGGATAATATTGAGTGTTGATTTGTTTGATTTCTACTGGGTGTTTGGTTCCTTGACCCGAACTGTCAAATCGCAAACAGTGAATTATGGGTTCGAACCGCGCCTACACTACCGAGGTTTCAACAGCAAGGTAGTATCCCTGACCCTCACACAGTAAATGTAGTTCAACACTTAGTGTATGGAATTACACTTAGTTCTTCAGTTTCAGTCTTTACTACTTTCCAGTTCGTCTTTATTGCTTTCATTTGGCCACTAGCTTCTATTCCTTCCTCACACAATCTCCCCCACGTCAAGTTGTTATTCATCGAAGACTGACATCAGTTGGAGGAACAAAGGAAACCTGGGAGCACTGGACAGCTGTTTCGTCCTAGTATGGGACTCCTCAGCAGTGCGCACCCACGACCCCACCAGCAGGGATCGAACCCGCGACCTTCAGGTTCCGCGACCAGCGCGTTACCATTGAGCCACTGGGTCAGAATCCAATGCTCCATATTTCCAACTTCTGTTAGCTCACGATATATAGCGCAACCGCCACCCAATGTCATCGTTGAGCATTTGTCCTCACGGCCATCAGGCTTGACTCCACCGGTCACGACTTGTCATTGGAACTTCGGGAATACTTCTCGAAGCTAGTCACCAACGAGCATTAGTTCAATTAAAAAAAAATGTTCAAGCTCAAACACTTTTATACGGCTCTATTGAAACGAACCTATCACATATATTTTTGCCTTATGTATGTTTCTTTATTTTTTATTTCTTTTTTATTTGTCCATTGGGTTCTTAATGGAACATAGGGCTTCAGTAGTACGTCTCCAGTGCACTCTGTTCCCTGCAAACTTTTGAACCTGGTTCCACGACAGCCCGGAAGCTCTCATTTCTTCCTCGCATGATCTCCCCCACGTCAGCCTCGGACGCCCAACTCGTCGTTTCCCCTTCGTGTTCCACTCGAGGGCCTGGCGCGTGATGTCCCCAGTCGGCCTTCTCAGTGTATGTCCAATCCAACCCATCTCCACTTTCTTCTGCATATTTGTTGAGCGGTGTGATGGGTTCTTGGTTGGTTCGTTGCCATGCCAGGGTTCCTTGTTACTTTACTTACTCTTTCTGGCCATTCGATCTGATCTTCAGTATCGAGTGAGCGTAGGTGGCAGCTGTTGATGAATGTTTGTAGTCTGTTGGAAATGCTTTACGTAACACGCCAAGTCACTCAACTATCATACGGAAGCACTGACTTGACTGAATTAGTGTTGAAAATCCGGATCTTGTTCACGCTTAATGCTGAGTGCAGTGAATCTCCACACTGGTTTCAGGTTAATGAAGTCCGGTCCTGCTTTTCCAATCCTGGCTTTGACATCCTCATTGGTGCCGCCGCCGCCGCCGCCGCCTGTAGTTGAAACGATGCTGCCCAAGTAGGTGGGTGAAAGAGACAACTTCTTTTAGATTTCCCCCGTTGATGGTGATCGGTGCTTGTTGTTGTTGTTGTTGTTGTTGTTGGTTAGGTATCTTCATCACCTGTGTCTTCTCTACGTTCACCTGAAGGAAGTCCCGTCTTCGCTGCCCTGCCTCGCCTCTTCTGTCACCTTGTTAGTTTTGCCAGTAAATCTTCGAGTTTGTGCTACAAGACATTAGACATAAATCATCATGGGCGAAATCGAAGTCTTCTAGGGTATTTTCATTGGTCAAACAGCATATGCCCATCTTCTCACAGCTCCTCACAGTTTGTTGGATGATCCGGTTCAGTTCAGTCGACCTCAATCAGGAAGATGATCGGTGATAGTAAGCAGCAACCTTGTCTTACTCCTGTCTTCACTTCGAAGGTATATATATATATATATATATATATATATATATATATATATATATATATATATATGTAAACGTTTGCCATTCAAGGAAAACACTCGTCAAGTGATAGGCGGTTGATGAACAATAGTTATTGATTTCAATTAAGTCGTGTAGATGATGAGTTTGAGAAATGTATATGCAAATAATCGGCAGAGTAACTGCATGGGATTAAAAACACTATGCATAATAATGGGAAACAGATTATTCTTTGGCAAAAGTTATAGTAACTGATAAAGTAAACTGAATATTTTTTTTCTCGATTGGTGGGTTATGCGCAATAAATAATTACTTAAAAATAAGAAAGCAAGTGAATCGTGGTAGAAGAAGAGGGGAAGGAGTATGCGAATTAATGTTAAAAGTTAAATCATGTTGATGGCCATGGTAATGAAAGTGGTTGAACAGATTTTCGAACACAAAAGTTAGGTTGTAAAGGTGGACTGCAATCACCTTCGCCTTGTGAAGTAGGGGAATGCATAGACCCTGTGGTTAATTAGTTGATATGCGACGAATAATTCTGAAAGCTTACACTTGATGTCCAGTGTCAACTAGGATTGCAATGTGTGGAGCTCCTTATTGTTTTAATCTTTCCGTTACGCAACGGTTATGAATGGTGCTCAGAAATTCAACGATGAACCTGCCTCATTTTTCACACAATGTAATTAGCTCCACATGACCAACTGAACTCATAAATGCATGTGATGGCGTAATGAACCAGTCTATCTTTATTTCTTGCACTTAGAACCGTGCGGTTGTAGGATATGGAACATAATTTAGCGACTGGGATTGCTCTTTGCAGGATTCTTTTGTTTGATGATTTCACTAACAATGTTATTTATGAATTTCAACTTGAAGAAGGTTTGCATCTTATAAACTGCTGGCATTCTTGTCTTAACCTTGGTAGCATTCATGTGCTTAGTTACGAACTTTGCTGGAGAGCTAGGTATTCCTACTAAGCAGATCACAAATGTTGGCAACCTCTTCCTCTATAGCATCATTACAGCATTTCACATTTCACCAAGTACCTCTTGTATTGGAGGGGTACGTCACTAAAGAGGTGCATTTATTGACCTGCTTTGGTTCGCTGTCTGTACATATTTCGTTTTAGAGTTCCAACTAACCTTCTTACCAGTAGAACATCAAGAAATCCGATGCTGCTTTTCGCTCCTCTTCCATTGTGAATTTGACTGCCAGTTGAACACTATTGAGCTTATTAAGAACAGCACCATTATCAGTCTCATTTTTAAGATATATAAAGGTATCTTCCCTGTAATTACAGTATCATTCCAAATGGTTAATAGTTTCCTCTAGAGAACCATTCTCTTGTTTTGTCAGAAAGAAATCTGCTGAGAGTAGACCATAAGGGGAATCCGTAGACAAACTATCAGACCGCTTGTAGAGTTCATTGTTGAAAAGAAAATGTGCATTCATGATACACCTCTGAAGTAATTCTTTTAAGTTGGAGATTAGAATACTTATTTTTATGTCATGCTTAGTAAGTTTAATGTAAATAAAATCTACTGTTTCCATTAGATGAACGCTAGTAAAAACAGATGAAACATCACACCATATCATGAACATATCATCATCATGACTTAAAATCTCTATTTATTGTTTATCAACCCCTCACCAATTGACTGATGTTTTGATTGATTTGTAAACCTATTTATTAGTGTAGAGCTAAGGATGAAGACTTAATTGAAAAGAAATATATTTCCCTACTATGTTTTTTCTAGATGTCTGAATAAAAGTTGTTTTTGTCGAGCTCAAACTTCCATAACCAAGTTACTATTTGTCTTCACTTGTGATGTAGTAATACTCTTCATATTACATAGTTTTCCTACCAACAGTTTGTAAGAATATCAGTTGAACTTGAAAATATGTCTTTATTTGGCAACTGTGATTATAGAGTGGTAAAATGTCACTTTGCTCCAATCGTTGTTTAGCTTTAATCTAAGATTATAAGAGGGGGGATCTTTGTATGAAATATTGCATAATGTTTCCTTTTTTCTTTTATTTTGAAAAGTATCGGGTTGTCGGAATCACATATCGTCTTGTCGATTGTGGTGGAATGAGAGTATGCCTTCGACCGCCGTTTAAATTTATTTATTCAGTGTCTGCATCTGGAGAATCTTCCAATAGAGGTCGTGAAAGACATTTGAGTGGTTCTTCTTCATCAACATTTTCAACTGTTCGGTCTTCTTGGACATTTGGTTCAGAGGCTATATTTCCGAATGGTATTTCTGGTACTTCTGAATTTGATAACGAACATTTACTATCAAATGCTTTGGGTATACAATTTTCATTATTACCACTCATAAGATTACAGCCTGCAATGCCAAGACTATGTATTTTCCCAGGTCGTGTTTGTAGTGCATTCAGTTTGGAAGAAGCCAGTGATATTTTAAAAAATGAATCAAATGTTCAACACGTATGTGATCTAGCAAAACAATTACACTTTCTTGGTCTTTCGAAATTCCGTGTTCCTGATCCATCAAAGTGGTCTAACCGTGTAGCTGCTGTGGTATGTTTCAATCTGAATTATCGTTCGGCATAATAGTCACAATATTACTTTAGCATTCGGTTTTGTCCCGTTTTCTTAGCATTATTAGCCTATTATTAAGGTAATGGCGTGCCGAAGCACTAATCATTAATTCTGTTGTTTCTAATGCATATACCATTATTCTATACATACTTCCTCCCAGCTAAATCGTATTTTATCCTCACTTTTATTTTTCACTCTTCTCTTATTTTTTTATCCAAATTTTGGTCTTTAATTCTAGCGCCATCTTGGATCTGCTCAGCAATGTTTTGGGCTTCTATTTATTTCTCTTTATCGACACTATGATTCTTCGGGACTTGCACCTCACTAATCGATCTTCATTAGGCTTGAAAGTTAATATGAATTGCTATAATCATAGACTATGTGCTTATTAAAATCCCTATGCATAGCTAAAACACGGTTCAAACTGAAAACAAGTTAGTCGTATGTGTGAAAGAGGATTTTTTAGTTGGCAATAAACACCTAAAATATGAGTTAACCTATCAGATGTATGCATCTCGAATGCAATCTTACGTAGTGTTCGAACACCGTTTCACCTACCGAGGTTTAGGCAACCTATTAGGATCAATAGCGCTGACGCAATTGACAAACAGACAACATCAATGTAAAAACTTCGTACACGTGTTCATCGGTCCAAGTTGCCACACTTCATAGTAGTATACAAAGAAGAGATGGATACAAAAAGACTGATATCAAAGTAGAACAAGTTGTGTGAGAGAATAAACAGTGTGAAGATAACAGTTAGTGCAAATACTCAAGCTTTAGATGTCAAGGACTGAATACATCTGCGCCACTACAACCGGTTTCCAGCCATGTCACCAAGAGTCGGTCCCCAACCACTGATTTTTATCGTTTCGGGAATCCCAGTCAGGCAGCCTACATCTCCCCACACGACTCAGACCAATAGTCCGGGTCCTCATGGATTGGTGCCATTTGTTGGTCTGGCCACTCTGAACTCTCTGTCAACTTAATCCAGTAGGCGATGGCTCTTTATACTCAGTGCAAGTCCAAGCCATCTCAACCGAATAAGGTCCACAGTCTTATCAATCGTCTTACGTCTCTTGCATTGTACTTTTCGCTTGACCTCAACATAGCTCATGTGGTGATTTCATTATGCACTAGCAATGCTACGAAGACGTCCGTGGTCAAGCCTCCGCAATCGCCCCATATCTACTTTCAACGGCCATGTTTCACAGCCGTATACCAAGAGCCGCTCAATGCATGTAGCTTATTGCCTACTGCACGAGTGCGCACAAGGTTCTTGAGTGGATTTCGGTTTCGATCCGAAATATTTAAAATTATGGTTTTTATCATCAATTATCATCAATTATGGGTAAAACCGTTGTGTTTTCTATTCGAACCTACCGACTACATAATCGCATTTGTCATTTTCACCTACTATACTGAGTCATTTAATGATGCTATCTATTCTGTCGGTTCTATTCTCTCTTCTTGTCTAGGGGAAGAGTTTCCAATACTAGCAGTTTATGCGTATTACACATAAATGTAATCGTTCAATTAAAGGTTTTGTAAACAACTTAGGCTTGATAATCTTTTACCACTTTCCTTTTGTATTGCTTCACTTTTCTCTAGTTAGATTTATCTATATTTCCGTACGAGACTAGATGGTTACCTGTCGAGTTATACATACGTGATGAAAACAGGCCGAATATTCCAATGAACTATAAGAATAATGGCGATAACAGTAGCGAAAACTATAATCTGAGCAGAATTTATGATTCCATTGGTCATTATTATTCAATTAAACGTCACCTCAATTTATTACATTTCAACGTCAAATTAGTATCAAACAACTTATCATTGTTGACCAAACTGAATTTGACTGCAACTGATTTCATTCAATGTATTGGTATAGATGACATCCGTAAGAAGGTTAGTTTCCACACTTGCATGCATCCATTATTACTATTATTAATCATTATTTGTCCCATAGGTTCCTAATGCAACATAGGGCTTCAGTAGTACGTCTCCAGTGCACTCTGTTCCCTGCAAACTTTTGAACCTGGTTCCACGACAGCCCGGAAGCTCTCATTTCTTCCTCGCATGATCTCCCCCACGTCAGCCTCGGACGCCCAACTCGTCGTTTCCCCTTCGTGTTCCACTCGAGGGCCTGGCGCGTGATGTCCCCAGTCGGCCTTCTCAGTGTATGTCCAATCCAACCCATCTCCACTTTCTTCTGCATATTTGTTGAGCGGTGTGATGGGTTCTTGGTTGGTTCGTTGCCATGCCAGGGTTCCTTGTTACTTTACTTACTCTTTCTGGCCATTCGATCTGATCTTCAGTATCGAGTGAGCGTAGGTGGCAGCTGTTGATGAATGTTTGTAGTCTGTTGGAAATGCTTTACGTAACACGCCAAGTCACTCAACTATCATACGGAAGCACTGACTTGACTGAATTAGTGTTGAAAATCCGGATCTTGTTCACGCTTAATGCTGAGTGCAGTGAATCTCCACACTGGTTTCAGGTTAATGAAGTCCGGTCCTGCTTTTCCAATCCTGGCTTTGACATCCTCATTGGTGCCGCCGCCGCCGCCGCCGCCTGTAGTTGAAACGATGCTGCCCAAGTAGGTGGGTGAAAGAGACAACTTCTTTTAGATTTCCCCCGTTGATGGTGATCGGTGCTTGTTGTTGTTGTTGTTGTTGTTGTTGTTGGTTAGGTATCTTCATCACCTGTGTCTTCTCTACGTTCACCTGAAGGAAGTCCCGTCTTCGCTGCCCTGCCTCGCCTCTTCTGTCACCTTGTTAGTTTTGCCAGTAAATCTTCGAGTTTGTGCTACAAGACATTAGACATAAATCATCATGGGCGAAATCGAAGTCTTCTAGGGTATTTTCATTGGTCAAACAGCATATGCCCATCTTCTCACAGCTCCTCACAGTTTGTTGGATGATCCGGTTCAGTTCAGTCGACCTCAATCAGGAAGATGATCGGTGATAGTAAGCAGCAACCTTGTCTTACTCCTGTCTTCACTTCAAAAGTGTCCCTGAGCTTTCCATTGTGGATCACTCGGCATGTGGCGTCTTCATACAGCTGTTGAATGAGGTTGATAAAGATTAGTGGCACTCCGTAGTGTTGAAGCAACTGCCTGGCAAATTATTCCTCGGTCGAGGCTGTTGAAGGCCTTTTCAAAGTCGATGAAGTTGAGGTAGAGGGTTGACTGCCATTCTATGCTCTGTTCATTGATGATGATGCGTAGTGTGGCGTTGCAATTTGGTCCGCATATGATTTATACTTCCTGAATCCAGCCAGCCAGCCAGCCAGCCTATTTCAGTCGTAGTTTTGAATCCAGCACATCCTTTAGTCTCTCCAGGATGATGCGACATAATATTTTGCTTGGGTCGGACAGAATTGGAGAGTGATTCCGCTCCAGTTCTTGCTTAGACTTGGATCTCCCTTCTTTGGGAGTTAGTCCCTCTTTTAATCGGTAGGTACCTTCCCTTCCTTCCAAACCTTCTGCAGCAGTGGTGTGAGCATGTCCGCTGATGTATTTGTGTCTGTTTTCAGTGCTTTTGGTGTAATTCCATCTGGTCCTTCTGCTTTCTCAGCTTTCAGTATCTTTATGGGTTCGGAACGTCTGCTTCTGTTGGAGGGTTTGTGTTCGCTGAAGGTTCTTTGACTGTGCTGCTGGTGGTGTTTCTGGACGAGTTTCAGGAGGTGGTGGTGGTCGATTCAAGAATTTTTGAAGTGGTCAGCCCATCGTTTCCTTGTTTCTATCCTTTCGTTATTAAATTTCCGTCATTATCATTTATTGGTTTCACGTGTATTGATCTCTTCCCTCCTGGATAGTAACCTGGTTATTTGATATAATGTTGTCAGTTCTCTCCTACCTACAGCCTGTTCTGCTTCACCTGCCAGTGTTTCGTAGAAGTGTTTTTTCTTTGCGCCCACTCTTCTTCATTTCTTTGTTCAGTGTTTTATGCATGGTACTCATTTGGTTCCTCTTCTCGTTGTGCGTCCTTGCACTGGTTTATCTTCTGCTTCACCATCCTCCTCTCCTCTTTCAGCTTCCATGTATCCGTTGGGATCCATTCCTTGTCTCCTTTCTTCTTCTTCTTTCCTAATACGGTTATGCAGGTTTCTTTCCACATCTCTTTCAAAGAGTTCCAGTGTTCTTTCACGGAGGTTCCTTCAGGGATGTTGCACAATATCTCCCATTTTGTTCTGATGGCCGACGTGAAGATGTCTTTTGTGGTTTAGTCCTTCAATTTTGGTTCTGGGTGTTAAACTTGAACTGTGGTCTGTCATCAGCTTGTTTGAGGGCTTTCGACTTGATTTTGAAGGTAGGGTTCCTTGCACTGGATAATGATGTGAACCTACATCTGCTCCTCTTCTTGACCTTGTGTCAAGTAGGCTGCGTCTCCACTTTTTTGAGGTTGAGGTGAAGTTGGTCTGGTTTTTAGTGTATTGTGTCCATCTGGTGAAATCGAATCCATGTCGCTTTGTGGATATCCTTGTGCTTGAACACAGTGTCTCCAATCACGAAGTCGTTGAATGCACAGAAATCTGCAAACAATTCTCCATTCTAATTCATCATTTCACCGAGTGCTTCTCTACCCATGCATCCAGTGGTGTTGTGTTGATTTCCTGCGGTGATGCCAATGGTGGTTAAATAATTTTTTTAATGATCATTGCACTGACCATTACTCAGTGTCCCTGAAGTCCTCTTTCTATTTCTGTCATTGGATAAGTTGACATAAGTCAGCATTTTTTGTTCCATGACTATATTGTATGCAAAAAAAGTGTTGAACGATGAATTTGTTAACCTGCCTGATTGTTTAGTTTACTTGTATGGAGCATAATCCACCAATAAATGACTAAAAGTTGGTCCCATAGTTCTTTCCCTAAGTTCCCAACCACAATAGCAACCAGGAAAGCTTTTCAAAATGTATAGAAATCTGTGTGAAAGAAAGTGAAGTAATATTATCGTTAGCAATTCCACCACAGCTAGCAAGATTATTCAAAGTCTCTGTATTATAGTCACACAAAGAATAGATCTGATATTCTACGTGGGTGATCTGCGTTGACTTATAGACAAGCACATTCCTTCGGAGAGAAATTTTGTACACCAAGAGGTGCTTAAAGTCTCACTGATCAAAGTAGCTTAGTATATTAGACGGCATATAATAAATATGAGCTGAATTAGGTGAAAGTAAACTTATCAAGATTAACCGGATTATTGCAGCACAAAAATCTAGCGAAATATAGACAAGTGTTCCCTATTATGATAAATAATCTTGAAATAAATACAGCTACTATTGAGGATGCATTAACTCATAAAATCATATAATAGGATGGAACAGTCTAGTAGTTCGGAAATACATTATGGCCAGTTGAATGTAGAAAGTAATTACTAAGTAGTTAGTTCATAGGATCAGTGCCCATCAAACCCGACACAAGTTATTTTTCGCGGACTACAGTTTTCGAGAAAAATCTGCTACCACTAAAAATAAAAGAACAAGCAGGTGTTGAACTGTAGAAGGTGATTTGGACGGTTATATGATTACTGTCTGAAGATCATGGGCAGTAAAATGTGCTCAAAATGACATCTAAAAAACAGTACTCTACAACCGTGTGCTATATCAAATATATCAATCCTGTATAGAAGTGTACTTTGTCTAACCACCATGTACTTTGAGGTAATGCCAAATCTCGTGTTGTTATGGACTTCCAGATAATGGTTACGTTCTACTGTTTCCTTGTTTCGTATGTTTTACTTGTGACCTGATTACCTTTCTTAGAAGATCAGTGGTGTAGTCAAAAAACAATTTCCTTATGATTCTTTTCAGTACTGAATTGATTGAATTAATTGGATGAATTTTTGTGTCTACTGTCCCTAATGTTTTCATAGCTCTTAAGTAATGAAAGCTTGAATAAAATGCTAGGAAAATATTTACACTTTATCGCTATCACTAATTGCGATACATTTGTTAACCAAATAATAAAATTATGTTGTTGGTTGTATTATTCTGTCGTTGATTGGGTCGAATTGATCGGTCTCTATTGGCATATTGCTCCTGCACGGATGCCTCGATATTATTATAATCTGTCGTCTCAATTCTATTGTAATGATCGACATTGGCTAGCAGTGGCATCCAAGAAGCGCGTTTCCTCGTACTTGGTACTCGTCAGCTGGAATTACCTGCCTTCCGGTGAGCGATGTTGTTTTCACTCAGGCGACAACCTGTTGCACAACCGGCTATTTTGACTCGGTAGCGTAGTGGATAACGCCGTAGCGTTCCAATCGATCGGTTTCGAGTCTAAATCTTAGTAGGAACGACATCAGTCGCTGGCAGACGGGTACTTTCAACTAAGGGGTCCTAAAAAAACAAAATGCGCGTCCTTGATCCCACCACTGACCACCATTACTATAAAATTTATAAAATTGTATGCATTTGTGTCATGACACTTGCGTATTGTTGTTGCTTCAATTTTAAAACGAAACCAACATGATTTCAGTTCCCTCTTCCAGTTGAAAATCACGAGGTACCTGGTTCTTTGCCTAAGGAATGCTCAGATTTTGATGATCACCTTTTGCCGTTTTATGCTACACATGTGGGTGTAATTTGGCTGAGATTTGATTCGGAGAAATATTGGCAAACTATAGCTAACCGATCTTCTACAGATTCTGAATTAAATGATTTGGTGAGAAATGTTCAAGTACAATCGATATACATTGAATTAGAAATTGAATATGCAGTGGACGCAGTGCAAAGTACACCATCTTCTGAACGGAATGAAACACCATCTAATCTCAATCCACTGCCAGCCCGTCGAATCTCCTTGGGATTCAAGTTAAAATTATTATCTTCAAACTGTTGTCCATTGAATGTACACGACTTAATGTTGACTTTCGAAGATGAACCTTTATCAAGTGAAGATAACACAAAACGATATCAGCTTAAATCAAAATTCAATCCACCGTTATTCGGAGAAAATGTTCAAGCTCAAACACTTTTATACGGCTCTATTGAAACGAACCTATCACATATATTTTTGCCTTATGTATGTTTCTTTATTTTTTATTTCTTTTTTATTTGTCCATTGGGTTCTTAATGGAACATAGGGCTTCAGTAGTACGTCTCCAGTGCACTCTGTTCCCTGCAAACTTTTGAACCTGGTTCCACGACAGCCCGGAAGCTCTCATTTCTTCCTCGCATGATCTCCCCCACGTCAGCCTCGGACGCCCAACTCGTCGTTTCCCCTTCGTGTTCCACTCGAGGGCCTGGCGCGTGATGTCCCCAGTCGGCCTTCTCAGTGTATGTCCAATCCAACCCATCTCCACTTTCTTCTGCATATTTGTTGAGCGGTGTGATGGGTTCTTGGTTGGTTCGTTGCCATGCCAGGGTTCCTTGTTACTTTACTTACTCTTTCTGGCCATTCGATCTGATCTTCAGTATCGAGTGAGCGTAGGTGGCAGCTGTTGATGAATGTTTGTAGTCTGTTGGAAATGCTTTACGTAACACGCCAAGTCACTCAACTATCATACGGAAGCACTGACTTGACTGAATTAGTGTTGAAAATCCGGATCTTGTTCACGCTTAATGCTGAGTGCAGTGAATCTCCACACTGGTTTCAGGTTAATGAAGTCCGGTCCTGCTTTTCCAATCCTGGCTTTGACATCCTCATTGGTGCCGCCGCCGCCGCCGCCTGTAGTTGAAACGATGCTGCCCAAGTAGGTGGGTGAAAGAGACAACTTCTTTTAGATTTCCCCCGTTGATGGTGATCGGTGCTTGTTGTTGTTGTTGTTGTTGTTGTTGGTTAGGTATCTTCATCACCTGTGTCTTCTCTACGTTCACCTGAAGGAAGTCCCGTCTTCGCTGCCCTGCCTCGCCTCTTCTGTCACCTTGTTAGTTTTGCCAGTAAATCTTCGAGTTTGTGCTACAAGACATTAGACATAAATCATCATGGCGAAATCGAAGTCTTCTAGGGTATTTTCATTGGTCAAACAGCATATGCCCATCTTCTCACAGCTCCTCACAGTTTGTTGGATGATCCGGTTCAGTTCAGTCGACCTCAATCAGGAAGATGATCGGTGATAGTAAGCAGCAACCTTGTCTTACTCCTGTCTTCACTTCAAAAGTGTCCCTGAGCTTTCCATTGTGGATCACTCGGCATGTGGCGTCTTCATATAGCTGTTGAATGAGGTTGATAAAGATTAGTGGCACTCCGTAGTGTTGAAGCAACTGCCTGGCAAATTATTCCTCGGTCGAGGCTGTTGAAGGCCTTTTCAAAGTCGATGAAGTTGAGGTAGAGGGTTGACTGCCATTCTATGCTCTGTTCATTGATGATGATGCGTAGTGTGGCGTTGCAATTTGGTCCGCATATGATTTATACTTCCTGAATCCAGCCAGCCAGCCAGCCAGCCTATTTCAGTCGTAGTTTTGAATCCAGCACATCCTTTAGTCTCTCCAGGATGATGCGACATAATATTTTGCTTGGGTCGGACAGAATTGGAGAGTGATTCCGCTCCAGTTCTTGCTTAGACTTGGATCTCCCTTCTTTGGGAGTTAGTCCCTCTTTTAATCGGTAGGTACCTTCCCTTCCTTCCAAACCTTCTGCAGCAGTGGTGTGAGCATGTCCGCTGATGTATTTGTGTCTGTTTTCAGTGCTTTTGGTGTAATTCCATCTGGTCCTTCTGCTTTCTCAGCTTTCAGTATCTTTATGGGTTCGGAACGTCTGCTTCTGTTGGAGGGTTTGTGTTCGCTGAAGGTTCTTTGACTGTGCTGCTGGTGGTGTTTCTGGACGAGTTTCAGGAGGTGGTGGTGGTCGATTCAAGAATTTTTGAAGTGGTCAGCCCATCGTTTCCTTTGTTTCTATCCTTTCGTTATTAAATTTCCGTCATTATCATTTATTGGTTTCACGTGTATTGATCTCTTCCCTCCTGGATAGTAACCTGGTTATTTGATGCAATGTTGTCAAGAGATTTGCTCCTACTGCATAAGGCACATCTATGCTTTTAGGGATATCACGGTAACCACTCGAGAACTCATTGTTCTAGTGATTGTCGTCTATATGACACTACCAGAGTAGATTATTTCCCCTCCTAACGCTAACCGGCTTGTAAACTAGACGAGCTCATCGGATATATTTTTGCCTCATGGATGTTTGTAGATATATTATACGATTACTGGTGTATACATTTTTCTTTGTTGTAGACAGTTTAGTTTTTTTTAAATATTCGCTTGGCAGAATACTTTTCTACTTCTTAACAGTTCTAAAGTAGTGGTGACCAGTTCCTCAGTGTCCCTTGGTTTTCTTCAGTTTTGTAGCTGTTATCTCATGAGAAAATCTAACTCAGTGTTTTTCATTGTCATGCAGACACTCGTGAATGTAAAAATGTACTATAAGAAAACATTTTTGATAAGTAAACACATTTGCATTTACTGTGACATCCCCGAAGATGAAAATAGGAAAAATCGGTGCGACAATGAAGGATTTTATTGATTTAACTTAAGTCGATAGTGAGTCAGCTTGCTACAATTTTTTTCAATATAATGTGGGGCAACGGACTTGTGTCTGTGCTGTTTATTAATGAAACGATTCGTTGAACTTTAGTTAAACTTTTTTGACGGATAAATTTCACATTGCTATATGAATCGATGGATGGCTTGAACACATACTGCGCATTCTAATCCACCGTCTGCCTCGATATGCTATAGTAGTGGAAGCTGGATTAGGTTGGCAAAGAGTTCAGAGTGGCCAGACCAACAAATGGCACCAATCCATGAGGACCCGGACTATTGGTCTGAGTCGTGTGGGGAGATGTAGGCTGCCTGACTGGGATTCCCGAAACGATAAAAATCAGTGGTTGGGGACCGACTCTTGGTGACATGGCTGGAAACCGGTTGTAGTGGCGCAGATGTATTCAGTCCTTGACATCTAAAGCTTGAGTATTTGCACTAACTGTTATCTTCACACTGTTTATTCTCTCACACAACTTGTTCTACTTTGATATCAGTCTTTTTGTATCCATCTCTTCTTTATATACTACTATGAATTGTGACAACTTGGATGGATACACAATTGTGCGAGGTTCTACTTCGATTTTATCTTTCTGTTTATTTCATCAGTCACACGATGTCATGGTATCATTTATTAATTTGACTGGATGTCCATTAGTGGTTTGGGGGTCGATTTAAGGTGTTACCAACATTTGAATGAAATAGTAGGAATCTTCGGTTCCTATAATTCATATTTGGTGATGTGAACCATGTAGCAGCAATCGTGGTGGAACCGTAGAATCCCTACGGCAAACTAGGTAATTCAGGATGGTAGGTGCATTTTTAATTTAATGTTGCTAGTAATGCAGTAATTAATATTCAATTCTGCGTGTTTTTGAACTTTTCACTTACATGTCTCGTATCTAAACGATTTCTGTATTACTAACTAAAACTCAAATTTACTGAAAATCCTTTCGAAAGCTATTGCTTTTCTAACGGTTATATGTGTTGCAATAATTGACTCTTAGTCTCTGTTAATGGTTACAAAGTCACACCTTGAGCACATATATTTCCGTTGTGAATCTGTCAACTGGTATTACGTAATAGATAAAGGCATCGGTTGATGAACGGTTAGATTCTGTAGTTTAATTTTTTGTTCAGTTTTTAAATTTTTTTCTGTTTTTCGTATTTTCCCTAATATAAAAAGCCATTTATTTGTATACTTTTTATAGGTGGTCTTAAAACCTGAGCATCGTTTACAGTATCGTCTTGAATTGGAATTGAAAGAAAACTGGGGTGGCCAATCGCAAGGATCAAACTCACCTGTTCGTTTAAGTAGTGCATGGGTGCGCTATTTGCTACCTAACCGAATGAACAGTATTTCTAAACGGCAACTATCTCTATCCGTTGTCGGAGTTACGAAGTCTGTGAATGGAACGACAGTAAATAATTTGGACGCTGATTCTGACACATTGGATGGTCTAGAGACAACACATCAAATTCGTTTACCACTCATTGGAATTAGTGATTTAGTATTCAGTAGTAGAATGATGAGGTTGGTCAACCCAAAACAGTTGAAATCAAATGAATTAGGCATTCCAGTCCCAGTGAAAAGTGAAGTACCAGGTACTGTGTTAGAGTCGAATATCAAGGTAATGTCATAATTTTATATATTTCTTTTGATATGAATTCAGTAATCCTTTTCGAATTAGTATTCTGTGTAGCTTTTTTAGCAAACTATATCTTGTTAGTAAAGAGTTTAAGAAAATTTTGAGAATAAATTGAGATCGCCTTTTGTGATACAAAAAAACACTCATGTTTCTCTCTTTCGCAGTTTACTGCAAATATTTGATCTATTATTTGGCAATGAAATGAGTTGAGACTGCTGAAATACAGCTGTATTGTTTTGCCAACGATCTACATTTTTCTGTCCATTACAACTGACTTGTTATAAGATATTTGTCTATATTTCTATCATCGTTGCTGTATTGTTCCAAGGTCGATTTTCATCTTGGATAACCAACTGTCGCATGTTTGTTTTCAACAAGGCTTTACATTTTTACTCATAGTTGATAGGTACTCATATATAGGCAGTTGTTACATAGTACCATGTTATAGTGCTTAGTGTTTGAAATTTCTTCAAAATCATCTGGAAGACGGTTCACGTTTTTTTATCTCTCAGTTTTGTCGATTGCTCCAGATTTATCAGCTTAGGCACAATCTTTAGTACTACTTTCCTTGTTTGAGAGCCTTTTTCCAGTGATCTATCTTTGAGAGCAACATACTACAAAATCCACAGTCCTAGCTCCATATATTCGTCACTGTTTAAGCACTTGGATGCCTATAATAACTATCCGGTCACCGCCCTGAAAAATGATAAACCCAATAGCAATGCTAGGATCATCTAATATTTGTTTACATTGCAGACACATGTCTTTTTGAGTATATTCTGAAATATAACTTGGAGTAAACCTAAGGATTAATAAATACACTGTCTAGTGTTCTGTAGTACTCTGTTAGCACATCAAGTGCAAAGTAATCTATAACATTTCCGAATCATCTTATCAAAAGCTTTAAGTTCTGCATCACTTGAGGCATGGACATATATATCTCTTAGCAAAGCATAATCTACATCAAAATACAGAATTAACTCTCTAACTACTAAACTGTATCGCTCATTCCATTTTAGCTGATTTATTAGATTCACCACTCACTGGAACAGTATTATTTACTGGATTACGTTTTGCTCCCAGTTTATTACCCAATCATATCAAGATAACTCCACAACTTTGAGACATGGTTGATGGAGTTTCAATTTTTTCGCCTCCTTTGTCATATGGGTAATAGGATTTTCCATACATCCGGAACGGATGCTAAGTCATTCTTGTTGCGTGTATTAGGTGTTGATTCGATAAACAGTGATTCGGATTGTATACTATGATGTATTTCTTTCGATCTATTTCCTCTTTTCATTCTGTTATGAAGTCTGACAACCTGAACTGATTGACTTATTTAGCAAAAAGATAAGTTTGAACGATGTCACTTGAATATATTGAGAAAATAAGTTGGTTTGTTGGAAGTGCTGTCTTTGTAGGACTGTGTTGGAAATATATGTTTAAATCATGCCATGTAGATAGGTAAAGACATACAAGCCGGTTCAATCTAAAGTGTTTCTTAACAGCCGAGGTGGAAAGCCGCAACAAAATTCTAATGAAATTGAAATGAGCTAAACAGGTACGACAAGGGAGATGGATTTACAAAATAGGGTCTGATGAAACACCTAAGGTTTTACCGGGAATGAATAGGGTACATATGTATCTTACTCCTTGTCGATTTCGACGCATAGCACTGAGAGTCTTCAACCATCGATCCAAAACGTTTCGAGAAACTTAACCAATTACTCTTTTCAGTTTTTATGGCCTATTTGCGTAGACAATATAAACCCATAATCTCATCGAAGTACTAACCCGTATGGACTGACATTACTGATTGCTGAGTAGGAAGTTCATGCTTAAGTTTTCTAAATGTTATGAGTTAACTGTTAACGATTTTCCGGTGGCTTGGCTCAGAATCGATTACAGTAGTGCTGCTTATTTACACTTTGTGGTCAGGATTCTGAAAACTTGTCAATCTTATTTCTTGAATGGATTTTTCATTTTTCTCAGTACCTTATTAATATCGTTAGCTTTTCTTAGTGTTTTACTCTGAAGCGTGGGAATATGGACCAGTGAACATGTCTGTAACGTTTTGACGTTTTTTTATGCGATTTATATGTCTTGAAACTTCTCTGTACTAATAATATCGAAAACACTAAGATTTGTTGACTAACAGTGTGTAGTATCTGTACAGCGCACCAACAAGTGTGGAGCTGTGGCTGAATGACTTAGGGAGATGAATGTCAACCCAATGAGTAACGAGTTTGAGCCCTGCTCCGCCAACCTAGGTCTACGCTGCCACGTAGTATCACTAGCCCTCACAAAATAGACGTGGCTATCGCCTACTGCACGGATGTGCACATGGTAGCTGAATGCATCCCATTCTATTCCTGCACCAATAATACTGCTAGTAGTATTTCAACTGGGATGAGTGAATTATAAAGAAACAGTAATGCTTATTTAGCCAACATGATTGAAAACCAAGAGTATGGTGGAGGTACACTGACGACACCTTTTTCATAATCAAAAGACAAAGTCTTGAAAACCTTTTTGAATATCTTAACATACGTTTCGATTCCATAAAATTAACTAATGAACTAGAAACATAATTCAAAACACTAGCTTTCCTAGACCGCAGGGTCATACGAAACAGCGACTGGACACGATACTGATATCTGTCGAAGAGATACACTTTCTAACAAGTACCTTGGTTTCAATTCAATCCACCTATTAGAAAATTAGTTTAACGTTTCTAAAAATCTGTTGACGAGATCACAAGGGATACCAAATAAAGTGGACTCTCAGCTAGCAGATAGGCAACTTATTCGGGAAACAACTATCCAGAAAAGCTACTAACAAGGATAGAAAAGGTTTATCAAAGAGACACGGAAAAGTCAAGCCATAAAGATTGGATAAGTACTGTAGTACTTCCTTATCGAAGATTCACATCAGAGGGCATAAGAGAAATCCTTAATAGTTACAACATCAGAGTATTCTTCAGGGTGACGAGAGCTTTGTACTGACACGTGTAAACTAAAAAACCCGATTCTCCATTTGGAACAAAGAACTGTGTTTATAAGATAGGCTGTAGTGAATGCGATGCCCCATATATTGGAGAGACATCAAGTCAATTACTAACACGTCTAACGGTACACGATCGAAGTTGCAAGCAACCACTGAGAAATTCCTATGATCTGTAAAAACTTGGAAAAAGCTGTGCTGTCGTGGCCCATACTTTATACTCAGGTTGTAAAATATTATTCGAAAGTGCAAAGTTTTCCAAAAGGTTTTTTTTTTCTCAGAAAGATCGATCCGTTGCAGAAGCTGTACATTTCTGTTTGTACCATTCTTCGGTGGACAGAAAATGTGTTAGACATCCCACAAATATGCCAAACTATAATGACTCACACTGACAGTTTCCAAATAATATATAAAAAGAAGGTAAAATACAACTTCACAGTATTCCACATGATTTATTCCGGATTTATTTATATTTCAGTAGTTCTCGGTGTTATTTCGCTTAACCGTCTTGATCGCTTCAAAAAATATTGGTTTCATTTTAATAACTTGTCTAATCCTGTTACATAATGCTTTATTGGTTTACGTTTTCATCAACTTTACGCTCCTTTGTGAATTAAATACATCCTATAAACCATCCTGTATATAACGTAATCCATTTTGTTTTCATTCATGCTTCAACTGTCCTCATAAGTATAAGTACCTTTATCGTTATCACTATTATTATTATTATTATTATTATTATTATTATTATTATTATTATTACTGATTATCATATATTGATCCACGTCCAAATATCCATCTTTTATTCTTTCTCACCCCTGATGACTCACAACTCCATTGTACTTTTCGTAGTCGACCTAAATTTCCCCATTCTATTTTTATTCCACCTTATTTGCACAACTGGAAAAAGCCTGTCTGACCGATTTGCTAATTTACTCATCTACATTGATCTTCATTCCATATCAAGATGCATTTAGCTGATCGTAAAGATTTTTTCTCTGTACCGAACTTGATTATTAACCTGAAAGCTCAACGTCATATTCATACTCTTTAAAGGGACCCTCCTAGCAAGATCGAAACGTTGAGGAATATTACAAAATATTTTTGTTTTCGTATTTGTCCGGATATATTACGCCAGGATTACACTAATAGAAACACACCTCGTACGTTGAAACAGTAATTAGTTCGTGAAAAAGTATTATTGTGAAGTCAAACACTTTCAATTGTAGGGAGTCGTCAACAGATACAGCTAAGAAAAGAATATTTTCCTTGAGAGCTAACACATACATATGTCTTAAAATTTGTTAAACGAAGTATTAATTCTTTTGTGTAACATATCATCAAGTCTGTGACGAATTCTTACTATATGAACACTATTTTGGCATCTGCTTTAATAATCTGTTCTATCTGCCTGTTTTAGTTAGACTGATCATTTTGAACTTATTTTTTTCATCTTATTACTCCATAGATATTTTGGTACTCTCGTTTACATGCACGTTGGATATCGTCTCCTAAATTACCGGAATCTCATCTTATTAGTGGTCTTTCTGAACAATATGAAGAAATATCCCTATGTTCTCGTTTTCATCGATATGGTCGGCTAGTTCTATCATCACATGAATGCCAAATCGATCCAAAGTGGTTTTCAAATGAAAGTCTTTCAATTCCACTGTCTAAACCTTGGTATGAATATTCATTCTTGAATCCTGGGTCATCTGCTGGTCTTCTTTGGGCACATAATATTTGGATAGGTTAGTAATGTTTTACCTTAGTATATTTTACTTTAGAAAATGCTGTGGTGTTTTTTTTTTATAAGCAGGGTTGCAAATATTTTAGGTGATAAAGTTGGGTATACTTGATATTAACGATATTTTAACAGACAGACGTAACATTAGCTATTGTATGATTACTTGTCGTTTATATCACTATTCTAATGATGTAGTCAGTAATTAGAAAAACGAAGAAATGAAAGACTATATATCAGCAGTTGCAAACCATTAAAAAAGGGAATGGAAAAATAATCAATCGGACAACAATATGTGATAGAAATTCCTAGTTGCCGAGACCTGTACTTCCGAATTCTTTGCCATCGGCTGGTTCAAGTATTATAATTATATTTACAATTAGAAGACAAACTTGATGCAACATGGTCACCAAGAGATACATCATACAAAGTAACGAAGTAACATTACGAAGACATAAAGAACAGAAGTGTGGAAACAAAAACAGAAAAGTCTCGAAATTATGTCCACAGAATGCATTCACTATTGTCGCTCTGCTTTTTAGCAACCGAAGAAACGCGGAAACTAGTATTTTTCGCCACTGGTTTTTATTTGGATCCATGTCTACTGTCTTCTTTAGCCACTAAATCGCATAATCTCTGGAACCTCGTTCCTAGAGACGTGAGGCGTCTACAGATACTAACCTAACACAACTATCCATGGTGCGACGTCATACACTGGGACACCTCTTCGCTCCTGTCAACCAGTCTCAGGACAAGCGAATAGTTTGTGGTGAAGCTACCCTGAGATCATTGATAACATGTATCAAAGCCATCGAATCCATTGTTTCCCGACGACTGCACTGAATGAACAACGATTTTGATTGCTGTTGAAGACACATTGCCTCACGTCACATTGACTTAAATGGTGTCTTCATGGAATGTTAGCAATGTTTTGGGGCCGACGATGGTCAAACGTGTAGAGTTCTTTGCAATACTTCAGGTGATGGGCCAAAGATTTACTTGTGCAGAGTAGAAATGTGCGCAGTGATCCTTCAGACAATGAAATATGCCCACCGATTCATAAAGAAAATAAGAGATCATTCAGCGAAGTAAAATTTCTTTTTCGACGATATCATTCTTTAAGACTGTACAATCGTATTTGTATGTATCACAAACATATAATAGTCTGAAATTGAACAATCAGGTGTAGTTGCATGAGTAAGCTAGCGCTAAAACCTGAAATCAAGGATGGAAAGGAGTTGCGTAGCAATATTTGAAACAGTAAAAATATTGAGAAAGGCAACGATTTTGACAAGGTGGAAATTGACGAAATATACGCATCTATTCATGAGTAAGAACAAGACATGTATAAGCGAAGAAATATTTCTGTTCAACGACTTCCTCATCAAGCTGTACAGTCGTATTTATTTATTTGTGACAGATAATTGCTCTAAACTGTTGCTCAGTCAATACGTAAAATATACAATAGGTGTGGTATTTATTCAAGTGAAAGAAATAGAAAATGGATCACTGAATAAGGAACGAATTGATAATAAATGGTGAGATAAAAGACACGCGCAATCAAATAATTGTAAAACAGTGATAATTTAACTGGAGCATACAAAATGGGTCCATGAATGAAGAACGAATCGATATTAAATAGTGAAATATGCGTCAAATGCTGTCAATGAAGGAAAAATTGGTGATGATAATAAAAGACAAGTATACCAGAGTGAAGTGAAATAAAGTTTACAAAATAAGCAAATTGAATTATCAAGGCCAAGGTAGAGAAAGTGGTTACACAAAACGTTTTGAATGTACAATTTCGAAAGGTTTCCATCAGGCATCAGTTTTCCACGCGTTTTTGATAGCCTGTGAAGTATGATATTAGCTGATGCTTTAGATACTATGTGTAGCAGACTGATACCGCAATGATTACCAACTATTCACGCTAGATTCTCTTTCTAGAAAGGTACAATAGGGGCTTTATTTTGTTGTGATGAAATACTACCAGTCAGAAATCTGGACTTTATTTCCTTACGGAAATTCGGTTCTTTAAGTGAGTCACTGTTGACCAACCTGCATGAGACATTGAAGTCGATGTTGCAGAGGATTTAGACTAGCTGAACGTTCTGTCGTACTGCTCCACCCAGCGTTCGACGTATCTAGAAGAGTTGAGAATTCGTCCATCATCTGCACCACAGAATTTCCCTTTGACACCAAGCTTGTTGCTGCATGTGGCACAGATCAGCTGGAACAATTTTCTATTTTTGTCAGATACACTTGTTGTTTACGTGTCACTCGCACATTCTGACTGCCAAGTCTAACTGACCTTGTGCAAACGCTCCTTGATTTGTTGCACGAATAACGTCTGCACAACATTGTGCTGGCTGCCTGTCGGAATACTCCGACGAGCGTCAAGACGTTACATTGAGCTTGTAGAGACTCAATGCCTGAATTAAGTGTAGCTTGGTTCAGTATTTATTTACTGGCTAGGTGTAACCAGTCGATGCATTTCAGACAACAATTTTGATAGCCACTAAAACAGAAATTGAGCTTAGCACACACTAAAGCGTGATCAGAGATTCGTAAAGAGCTCAGGACGAAGTGGCAGACCTGAGTACACCCATGCCACCAGTAGTTGATTGCAGCATAATAAACTTGAGTCCAAGCTTAAGTGGCTGGGGGAGGACGTCAGAGCATAACGACGATAGGTATGTCTGGAACACGTTGTGATCTGGACAAAGCTCAAAAAAGTGTCCCTTATTATCTTACGTGCTATGCAATCACCCTCACTGACCACTTGAACGACCCTCTTCTAGGTCTAGACATCAAACCTATGAATCCAATTTCTCAGCACTGCAAAACCTGTCAAGTACACTTTGTGAAGGTCACTCAGTTGATGGTAGAGCTCATCCTTAACCACATCTGGGCTACAGTTAATAGAGGTATAGGCAAAGATAGATGATGAAAGCACATTGGTTTCGTCACTAGTTATTTATCACTCCAATTGAAACTTCTGGCTTGCCACAATGCAGAAGGTCGTTGATGAGGATCTGGCCGACTATTAAAGCCTCGTCCCTGGTCTTCAGTACGACAGCAACGCCAGTAAGGCTGACTGTGAATAAAGTTCTAAAGTTGACAAACAAGTTATTTGAACCACTTCAGTGGGGTCTTGTATGAGAGTTTCTGAGATACAGTGCACATCAATATTAAGGCTTTCTAGAGTCGTAATCAAACCTGTCTATTGTTGGATCTTCACGAGGGTCAGAACATTGAAAGTAGCCAGCTTAATCGGTGCTCATGGACTCAGAAAAGTTGCATCGAACAACACACTGAAGGAAGCAGCTGTTTGGTTACTGAAATTCATACAGATTTCCAGTCGGTAAAAGGCACCTAAGTAAAACACAAAGCAGATATAAATAAACTTGAAACAGGTGGCGAAAAGATAGCATATTTCATGATCAAAAATAACAGCGATGTAACGACGAATGAAATGATTGAGGAATCAATTCTTCACACTTTTAGTCTTGATTGTCGGAGTGGGAATCGATGACTTCTTATTGCTCTTCGTTATTAATGTTGATTGAAGAAGCATATGTGGTCTGTGAGTGAGAGAGATTGGACGCTTAGACTGAAGCGGTTGACTGTCTTAAAGGAGCATTTGTTGAGCCCTTAGTTTTCATTCTGTTTGTCAACGGCAGTGGAGCAAAGCGGTGTGCTTTATACCCTTATTTTTGTGTGATGAAGATGAGACCGTTCACTACTCCCTCGTTTTAAATGATGGTCTTCATGTATGCCACTTGTTTGAAATCAAAGTTTTCTAACTCTAGGTGTACTTTCTATGTACTGTAGTCCGGTTATGATTACAAACACTCTCTTTCACCGTCTCATTTTCCTTAAAACACCGTTGGACAAGTAGAGGCATTATGACTTCTTTGGCAAAATCTGTGAATGTTATCCACATGGGAGCATTTTGAGAGAATGATCACGATCATTCCAACATTGATCATGTCATATCATGGTATTTTTGGGCTGTCTTTAGAATGTCGAAAATAGTGATATTTCTTCCTGTTTCACGTTTTTCTTTTCCTGCTTATTCAGTGAAACAATGTATTGAAACATCTTTTAGATTCTTCAGATAATCTACTAGGTAAGTACATCTTACATAGGCTGACTTAAATTCCTTCTCGAAGTTAAATATGAAATGGTGATCAACTTTCACACTATAATTTTACTTTTATGCATGTGAAATGTCTCGCTCACAACAGTAGTTCCTAGATATATTTATCTCGCTAAGTAAATAAACGATGGAAAACATTACTCGCTGTTATTTTTGGCATCCAAACCCTAATGCTTTATTCATTTCTGACCATCAATAGCTGGATAGTGGCTCTGAATCTGGCTGTATCTGATCCTACCCTAGAAACTTGTTATTTATCTAAGCATCTGGGTTTCAAGCTTAAATCTTATTGGATTTAATCCACTGGGTTTTTTTCCTGAACACGCACACAATATGGCTCACTTAGTTCTAGGTTGATGTGTTGATGACCACTAACTTCACTGTGCTCCCCTCAATATAGAGGGTGGGGGAAAATGAAAAACTTGGGATTTTGAAAGTCGTAATGAAAAAAGTAGTTTTTCGCGATCGATTTCTCTCTCTTCCATACGTACCTTTAGTCATATGTAGGTAATATTCAGCATGTATCAAAGTTGTGAGGCCTTGACATGGACGTTTCCTCTAAATTTATGTTTGGCATTCGAATTAGCGGTTTCTGCGAACCTACTCTTTACATGCATGTTAAAAAGTATTTTTCTGGCATCGTAATTTGATTTTGTAATTAGTGCGAAAACAATTCTTTTTGCTGTTATTGAATAGATATTAGTCTGAACCCGTTGTCTGAAGGCAAAAGTCAGTCAAATTTTCGAACTGCTCCCATCAAAAAACCTAATCCTCAAAGTCAGCTGTGTTTACAATGTCGTCAAGATTTTTCTGTTCTACGTAAAACCAGTGCTTTCACACGACGGATTTCTTCTACCTCTCTTTTATCGCCTGCTGAGCCGAAACTATCATTGACAGCATTAAAAAGTCAAGTGAATGCTCTGAAAGCTGATATGGGTTCAGATGGTCGAAAGATTTCCATGCCAGATTTAAGAGGTTCACAGCAGTCTGCTATGTATATTGACAAAGATAATCTATACACATCATCCCGTATTTGCACTTATCCTTTAAATCCTGTCTCTATTTCCATCACATGTGGTGCTAGACAAAACTTATTCCAGAATATTCGTATGCAAATTGATTCACGTAAGTGAAAGCAGTTTCGTCATTTTTAAGGCACTCTTTCCTTATTTTAATGTTTTGAAATGTATGTAGACAACGTTAAATATGAATTCTTCTGCAAAAACCCGGAGAGCTGTAATCTTTCCGTATAGTAGGTAACTTTTTAAAAGCCGTCCCATATAACTCCAAAATGAACCGACAAACTAGCAAGGACATATTTCATAAAAATATCAACCTATTCGACCATATACTTTTAACCTTTAGTCATATATTTCAAATTTTTTGTATTGATTCAGTAAGGCAAAAGGGGAATTCATCATCTCAGTTGATTTTCAACTAAATTCTCTACTGTTACCTTTTAGAAAAATCTGCATTTCCTCATACTTTTACTGTTTCAAAACTCTTAGGAAAAGAATATATACTGGTTGGAGGTCTTGTAGTGAATTCAGAATATTAAGACTTTTAAGTCCTGTTACGATGAGATACTAGTGAATTACTAAATCTTCTGAACTGTATGAGTGAGAATCTGAGAGCTTCATAGCATGTTTTTCATTCATATGATACGGTTACTCATGACTTCTTATAAATGAAGACAAATAATTGGTGTATTGGTTTCAGTTATGTTTGTCAACAAAGAACGATGAAATTAAAAAACATAACATCAGTTACGGAACCAGTGAAGTGTCTGAATACAACTTGGAAGTGTCTTCTCTTTCATCAGGCGACTGTAAGTTGTGATCATTGAAGATAAGAAGGAAAATGAGAACTTCGTATATACTTAACATCAGATGCCTTTTTTATTTGGTTTCAAGTTCGGAACGCATATAAGTCTTTTAGATGGTTGACGCTCATTCGTCGAGGTATGTGAAACATTTAGAAAAACGGGGGAAGAAAAATGTAATCGAAAGTCATAGGAACTCATAAGAACAGAAGAAGAAGGTAACGAAAATGCAGAAAAGTGATGTGACGCATGTAGGATGAAGATAATGTATTCGTACATTTGACCCACTAAGATTGATCCTCAACAATACCATTAGTAATATCTCACCATCAACTTTGATTGTCACACAGACGCTAACTGGGAAGTGTACATCCGTCTACACCACCCAAACTTACAGTCATAGACTGTTTAAACTTATATAACCTTCCAGCCTGGCAATTTTTTTCCGGGCTACACCCACTTCGGCTAATATTGGACTTCTGATGAAATGGTGACTATGTATGCATAACATATATCTTAGTCGATGAAAGTTTACAATTTTATCAGCCAACTTTTGCCTGCTGTTACCAAAGTGGTGGTGGCAAGTGGTTAAAAACCTGAAGCTATCTCATGTCTACCACCAATTACTACTCTCCTGATAGTAGCCTAATGTGTGAAGGCTTTCTTCAGCCATCGAAAATTAGTTTGCTCTTGGAACCTTTGAATGGTTGTTGACGGGTCGTTAGAGTTATCTATCTTCTAATATGATGTCATATGATACTCTCATTTGATATTTGTTGGTGTTTACAGAACAAATTTTTCTATCAGTGTCTGACTGTAAACAGAAATGCAGAACAGATATATTATGCCACTAATGAGTCCCTTTTGTAGATCGCGCAACGGTCTACTGGCGTAGGGACATTTATTGTCTCAGGTCATGAGAACAAGTTGTTTCAGTCTGAAATGACTTTTGCCACCATCTCTCTTGAGGCTGTGGCTCATTGGTTTAGGGAGATGGCTTTCAATCAGTTGCTCACGGGTTCGGGCACCGCTCCACCAACCGAGGAACAGGTAGCCAGTTAGTATCATTGGTCCTCACACAACAGGTATGTGCACAAGATTACTGGATGAGTTTCGAGTTCAGCTATCTTTCTTTAACTGTTAAAAGCTTCTATCCTTACACTTAACTTTTGAGAGGACAAATTGATGTTCGGATAATCTATGCTGGGTGATGATTGAAGGTGAGATGAAAATCTGAACTGCAACTGGATTCGAATCAGCGACCACCGAGTGGTCAAACTATGGCTATCTAAGATAGTCAAACGATGTTCGGATAATCGCTTGATGGGCCTCAAAATTTCAGACAATCATATCTAATTCAGAGATGATGTTAGCAAAATTCAGGGTTCTCTTCTTGTTTTAGTCGTGAATTTGACGATGTTTAATTGATTGACGCCAACATCTTTTTAACAAGACTGAGTACAATAGCCAGTTGTGTTGGAAACTCAATTTGTAGACACTCATGGGGAAAGAATAATTGCCCTCTTGCAGATGCTTGCCTCTTGCAGAAGTCTTCCCATCTTCGAAGAACGCGAAGCGTCTTACGCTCGTATGATTTTGAAATGGTGGAGAATGATTGTAGCTTATGTGGATGATCTTGGTCGTATTGTGTTCTCTGATGTGACTGGTTCAAGCTTTTGTTGTCTTTGTAGACAAACATCATCAGCTATTACTTCAATATGAAGTTGAAAATTTGCCTCCAACAAACTAGCTGTATGTTTTTTTACTACCTTATCTGATGCTTTGTAAATAAGGTGGTTTGATGATAATTCAACTTGTGTGTAATTCATCCCACTAATCTCCGTAAAGCGAATTTCTAAGCAATTACGTGTTTTATTCCTTTGTTTTGTTTGCTTATCTCATTTTTCAGAAGCAACAGATTCTGGGAATCCTAACAGTGATGAAGATAATTCCAGTGATAACATACATCCATTGGATGAGTTTCAGATTGAACGTGCCTGGATAGGTCCAGCTGTATATAGACATGTTCAGCACGTTAGTGATGATGATTCCGAATCAACTCAGACTACTTTGTTGGGACCACTGATTGAAGGAATAGACTATGCGTTTATTGGACAGGCATCAGGTAGTATTGGCGTAAGTTCCTGTTTTAATAACTATTTTGACGAATAAATTATTTCTAATTTAAAAATATGATGCAAGCGATATTTTAGTTAATCCATTCATGACTTAAAAGCGCGACAACAGAGCAGTTTATAGTTTTCGATAAAAACGTGCGTGTATCTTTTATTCGTGAAAAAACGTGTCTTACAGTGTCATAAACTAGATCAGATTCGGAGGTTGCTACAGTACAGTTCATTCAACATGTCATTCCGTTTGTGTGAGCCATTTTATTTTCTTCACGAATGTTACATTTGAATACAAAACTCACAGCTTTTATGCATTCCATGTCTAGGTACAGTACTGATTGTACTATTTTAGAAAACGAGAAGAAAGAGACGAAGGAAGGAACACTTATTTGGCATCTTGTACAGTAGTCATCAAATATGGTACACCTTTCACTAAGACAGTCATTTGCATAATGTGCTTCATTTCATCTTCGGTTTGTATCTTGATTTGCTCTTAACATGCGTGCGCTATCTCTTGCGTTTCTCTGGGCAGAATCCGTACCTATTGCTGGTAATTTTTTATGATTTCTGCCACCCTCTCAATATATGCTACTTATAATCCATTTCTCTACATTTCACTTGATATCTGACTTCAAACCGTTTCCATTTACTTCCTTCTCTTTGCTCGGATTTTTCAGCATCAGCCTTCTGTTTTTGTTCCACAGTTCTGATTGCCTTTTTCCATATGCAAAGCATTTACTCTATCTGTTGATATTCTTTCGTGAAACGTGTACCAACTCAAATTGATCCAAACACTATGTTATGGTTCTTTAGTATTCACCCTATATGGATTTGTAAATCCAGTTAGAGTAGGGAAGAAAATTGAGCAGTTTGTTTGGTTCGATACTTGCATTTCACCTCCCAATCAAGCTCTTCTGTACTAGTTATCCTAAAAATTGGGATGCTTAAGTTCAGCTTACACCACTGAATTATCGTTCATGTTTTATTACACTTTTGATTGGTCTACTTTAAGCCTGCTGCACCATTTAAATTCTGGCATTTTTTTCGAAAACGAATACTTATAATAGAATGGTATTTCGGTATGTTTTCATGACAAGTTCTACAACATTGCTGGCCTTAAGGAGAACTAAGATTTCCTCTTGTTTGAAGCAGTTAAATTGTTAGTTCTAATATTGCTCTCTTTCAGTAGTAGGTGAATAAAATCCTTTTTTTGTAATCATAATGTGACGAAAAATGAAAATATGACGTTCACTATCATCATTGTGTACTGAAATGCTGACCATCAAGTCAGACATCCCTCACCCTTAGCATCGGTACTTTTCAAGATTAAACTGTTATCAGAGTAGGGATTGACTAATGTTAGCTATCATTGATTCTTGGAGTTTTATATTCAGGTGTTAATGCTACTCAAGCTTCATTCTGCTTATTTCGATAACTTTATATGTTCACCAAATGCACCTGTTACTGAGTTACACCGAGCACGTTTTCCTAGTTGTAAATTAGTGACTACTGTCTTAGATCTAGATGATAATTTCTTCCCACCTCTGTAATTTACGATATTTTTACATGTCTAGAACCAAACATTGAATTTTAGACTCTTGTCAGCCAAATCACGTATATTTACCATACTAAATAGGCTAGGCGACTTATGTCCTAAAAGACTAAATTTTTATGTACGGAAGAATGCTTTGTTTCCTTAAACAAGTGCAAATAACAAAATTTTTACCGAGCAGATTAAAACACGATGCTTCATGAGATAGGAGATGAAATCTCAAATGCTTAATTCGTTTGCATCAGTTGCAAACTAAGCTACTGTTGAAGTGATACACAGATAGAAATGTCAGTGTAAAACTTGTCACAAAGTGGTATTTGTTTGAGTTATTACACTTCACAGCAGAGCGAAAGAGAGGGAAATGGAAAAAGAATGACGTTAGAGTAGGCAATAGTGTATGAGAGTAGAAGAAATATTATAGGTAAAACTTGTTCATAGTATTCAAGAATTCAAAAATGACTAAGGGCGTATGCATCTGAGCCACTGTGAGCCATTTTAGTCCATGTCACAAGAGCCTTCAATTATTGATTCGTATTAACTGGAATACCCCAGTCAGATGATGTACGCTTCTGTGGACTTTTAATACCGATGGTCAAACACTTCATATACTCGTGCCTCATTTTGGTCTAGCCGCGCTTAACCTACTTCCCACGTAATCCAGTTTCGGTTAACATCGCGTAGGCGGTGACTCGAAACACCCAGGGTATTGATTTATTGAGGGCTTGTTTAGCAGGGTATATTATTTATGTTATTAGAACACAAACTTAATACAACACGGACACAAAATGATGCGCCATTCAAAATATCTAATCAAAATTACGAAGACAAAACTGAAAGAATAGAAATAAAACCAAAAAGTGGATCATCGAAAAGCTTGTCTCGAATGTACATTTGTAGAGGCACTGACTACTTAAGTAACTGAAGAAACGAGAAACCTTCAGCATGATTGCCACTGGTTTCGATTGGGATCCATGTAAGCTGTCGTCTTAAACCCTGAGTCACATGATCTCTCGAACCTCGTTCAGGAAGCCCTGAGGCACCTACAAAATGCTAGCCTAACACAAATATTCATTGTACGGTGTCACGTCATGCAATGGTTATCTCTTTGCTTCGGCTTACTAATCTCAGGAGCGAATAGTTTTCGGTGGAAGAGCCACCACAGTATCCTAGGTAACGTATATCGAAGCTGGTGTTTCCAGATGACGACACTGAATGAATAACTATATTTATTACCGTTGCAGACACATTGCCTCACGTCAGAATGACTTACTTGGTATCTTTATGGGATGTGGGCAATGTTGCGGAGCCAACGATGATGAAAGATTCAGTGTTGGACATTTTGCCCTTGGTTGGACAAGGTTTCACTGGCATAGAGCAGAAGTGTCCGCAGCGATGCGTTGCATACCCAACTTCTCACCGCACTGATGTACAGGCTTCTGGAGGTAACTTTATGGCGACTGGGAGCGATACGGTCAGCTCAGGATTTCAGTCAGTAAAAGGCACCTAAGTAAAACACAAAGCAGATATAAATAAACTTGAAATAGGTGGCGAAAAGATAGCATATTTCATGATCAAAAATAACAGCGATGTAACGACGAATGAAATGATTGAGGAATCAATTCTTCACACTTTTAGTCTTGATTGTCGGAGTGGGAATCGATGACTTCTTATTGCTCTTCGTTATTAATGTTGATTGAAGAAGCATATGTGGTCTGTGAGTGAGAGAGGTCGAATGCTTAGACTAAAGCAGGTACTTCCAATATTGCACACACTGTTGATTTGAGATTATGGAGAATTTTCGCAATACCCTTTCTTTTTGAATTTCTCATTCTGTATGTCCCTGTATTCTTTCGCTGCCTCACTGAATTATTTTGTTGGTTTTCTCAAGTACTTCTTTTGGACACTGTAATAACGTAAACTGTCACACTGTTTTCTTCAGTTTCTGTGTCGTTCTAGCAAGTCACTTACAAGTAAACACTTTGCAAGCCGGAGCATCTTTCAATAATTCATTTTTATTTCAGTTTTCATCTTCAAATTCTATCAATTTGTAATACGGTATTGCAATACGTTGTATGTCTAAAGTTATAACACTTAAATACAAAGGTAGGAACTTAAAGGTATGAAGTAACACACGAACGAAATACGGATAGTTGTTTGGTGGGCATTGACTTATGTTCAAAAGGTTTTCGTATTACCTTCAAATTATGTGAAATAGATTACCGTTTCTGCCAACCTATACGGTAATCTCACACGTTCCACTTCATTGTACTGAATTCAAAGTTACAATATATTTCCGGGTATTTTCTTCTCTTTTTATAGATTTCTGTTTACAGCTACCGTCATCACCTCAAAAATCAAACAATACTGTGAGTTCTATTGTATTTTTACGTCCTGGAAAATTCTGGGTTTGTGGTCTACTTGGAGTGTTACCACAGTCATCTGAATTAAGTTTAACAACAGACGGATGTATATCTTCAGCCTACCGCTTACCATCAGTGCATAGTGTTGAAACAATTCGTTACTCACCGAATGGAATATATATTCATGTGCTTGACTCATATGTAAATTAAACATCTTACCGTTTTCATTGTGAAAACTTACTGTTATTTTTAGCCTACATATAAATCATATTGTATCTACACCATTTCATGATGTGATTGATTGTTTATTACCCCGAAACTTGCAACCGGTTTAGAAATTTACCATGTTCATTCCTCTGTCTATACCTTTGGGTAATTACCTTTATTATCATTACTATTATTATTGTCGTTCACATTTTAACATTATCGTTGTGATGACGGTAAACATCTGATTGATCCTGACAGTACATGTCTTTTTTTACTTAAGAAAAAAATTTTGAAATAACGTTGTAATTACTACCCTATATATCTAAAATCAATTTTGTTCAATACTACTTTTTCCTGTTTATGTATGTTTTCTAATTCTTCTGGTCACTTCCTATTTCATAAAATTAATTCATACTTTTGTACTGCATTTATTGGGCGCAATAAAATATTTTCAACTTACATAAATTTGCTTGTTTACTCCTGTGCAGGTGGATATTTCATAACCGATTTCAATCTGTGTAGTTTCTTTTTTCTCTTTCTTTCTACAAGTTTGATTTCTAAAAAGAAACAAAAGTTGGAACCAAGTAATCCATTCATTCCATCCTTTTGTAATAAGTATATAATCCATAGTGTTAAAGTGTTTTGAAGTTGATGATAAGCCTTTTGATTTTCCGAAACAGTATATCATGGCAAACATTTTATCCCTTATACACTTTCACTTTTCTTTTTCATTGTAGCACAAATGGTTGTGATGTATGTATTTATATTATATGCTGGGAATTATAATTTCACTGTTCAATGATTTTCACTTATTTGTATAATTGGTGATCAAACAGTTTTTCTTAGATGACAGTTCGTGTAACGATACTTGTTACCTATATAAATATAAATGACTGACATTTTTGATTTTCCATGCATCGAGAAGCAAAATATTTATATTTTACATCAACTGTTGATAGTGTTTAGGGAACTCCAATATCTGAGACTATCTTGTTATGGTTGGCGTTAGGAGCTTTCGTCAACTCCTGGTGGATTCCGTATGAGATTTGTTTATTTGTTACATAGCACATGGTGATACAGTACTATTTATTTGGCGACGTTTCGAGCATAAGTTATTGGTCCTAATCATATTAATGTGATAACATTCCTTTCGATACCTGATTTTTATGGTTCTGTCGCCTGACATACTTTGTTTTTATTGGTAGTAAAGTTTTTATTTCTCTGGTATAGCTTCCAATATAATTAGATGGAGAGAGATTGATTACTGAGTGTTTGTTCATGAAGTCTACACTCAACACATGTAACAGGAATGACGCAACGCCTATACCACAGAAATGGAAAATTTTACTACCAATGAAAAAAAATCATTTGAGGTGACAGTATAATAAAAATTAGATGTCGATAAGAGTGTGATTACATTGATATGATTATGAGCAATAATTTATGGTCGTAACCTCACCAAATAAATAAGGTGGTATCACTGTGCGTTATAAATCAGATGAACAAACCTAATATACGGAGTTACATTCTACCACAGTGCCCAAATTCCACACTTATATTAACTTCTGGTATATTTCTCTCTCTCTTCCTAAACTTGAATTTAGTCGACAGAGCTCTCATCTTCAGTACTACCTCTTGCGGAATTCATGTCAAACGTCGACTAAAACTGACTCACATTCTAACTTCCTTTCAGTAGTTTGTATGTGATTTATTTGTGAGGTTTCAGAGGAAAGGAATCACATTCTTAAAATATGGGTTTACAGTGAGAATTAAAACTATGATTATATGTATGTACCGCGTGATGTGTAGCAGAGCACTATATTCTTCTAAACCGTAACATGTTTTAGCGGAACGCTGATGAAAAAAGAAAATAACTGCGTCAAAGGTAAAATTAAAGGTATGAAAATATACTGTATTTCATTTTAGGCAGATGAAACAACTGAAAGATTTGTTCTATCGCGAATTAATGTACAGCGTGCACTTTGCTATTTATTAGACATTATCTTGATTGCTAACATCTTTGTAAACGACTGAAAGTAGAGTCGGACTGGGTTCAGTTGGTTCCTTTAGATTACTTAATATTTTGATACTAACCTAGCATAGGTTTTAGCTGAATAATTCCATGGAGCCTGTCAAGTGAACAAAACAAGCTTTCCAAGCACACAGCGCAATCAGACGGATGCCTATTCTTTATTGTTCACGTCAAAGATGATGACAGATTCTATTCTGCTTCCAATGGTAGTTTATAAATCTACCAATTGTATCTCAGTGATCGAAGATTTCACCAATCTATTCATCTATCTACATAAAACTGTACACAATATAGTGTCGAAATTCTACATTTTCTACCACAATAAATCTGTTTTTAATCCAGGTACATTAGTACAAATATGCTTTTTACCCCTTTCTAGTGATTATCTTAGAAACTTAATTGTTTGTACAGTTATCGAAAGTTTCTACATGAAACTGTCTTTAGGAACTACCTGGGATACTGCGTGTCATGCTTTGATCACTTTTGACATCAGCAGATAAAGTTTATACGTTTGATGCCTTATTACTACTGGGAGAGGACGTGTGACCTAATTTCAGGTTAAAAATCCCAATATCTTGCAAATTTGGAGTTTCAACCTCAAAAGCAAACTTATCCAATACTTTTTGTTACCTAAGTTAGACGAAAAAATTGGTTTTAAGCATCTAGGAGTTGAAATTACTGACTAGAAGCGGTTTATTCATGTTACTGGATCAGGCAGTACTGTTATTCCATGGTATAAAGTCTGAAAATAGCAATAGGATTCGGTGTCTTGTGATGGGATAGGGTAGAGGTGGATCTGCTGACAAATGTTCTTCGTCTGGAATTTTTAATTTTTTAATATTTGGTAGAAATAACTTAACTACTTGCGCATTTTGTTAGTAGTATGCTGAGGTTTCGACCAAATGCATCAATACTTCTTTAATAAGTAGTCTATTGTTTAAAAATCAACATTGAATGGACCAGGCGATCATGTATATTAGTAAGGTGACAATCATATACTTAAGGAAAGGAAATTGGGTGACGAAACTCTTCAACGAGTTTATTTCCAGGCTGTACATTCGCATATATATGTATACGACGTTTGAGGAAATTTAAGGAATGGATGTTAATAATAATGCCGAAACAACTTGTAGTGTAATAGCGGTTTAAATAGAAACGATGACATAGTAGATCGTGTAATTTATAGAACCGTTCACAGAATGCATATAACTTAGAAATGGGTGTAAAATTGATGCGAGTGGTAAACCAATTAAATACTATGTAATAAGAGTAGACAAGTTGGTTAACGGTCAATGGTTTCTGAAAAAGTTAGGATGATTAGTTGAAATAACACGGCAAAGTATTCACAGTGGAGGTGATAATTACAAAACTATTAACGAAGAAGTTGGTATACAAAGAGTGACTCAAGGGGAAACTGGCGGTGGTGAAAAAATGTTACGAGCAGTGTAAAAGTCGTGGGCTTATCGACTAGGTATTCACATTCCACCTGGTTCTGGAACAGAGATACACTTATCAACGCCTGACATTATCTGTATTTCTCGACTTCGTCGGCCGAGAGATCTTATGGTGACGTCTCTCACTTGTCGAGTAAATAAATCACTCTGTTGAGTGCTCTGTGCTCCAACATCCATGAGCAGGTTAGAGCATATGATGAATTTTATACGTCGAGTGGTATCCGTCAAGGATGCCCACTCCCTCCATTCTTATTGAATTTTGCCAAAGATGCATTTATGGAGGTTTCCCTCTCTTCATTTTGACATCACAGAAATTGATGTAGTCATAGGAGAATTCTTGGTAGATATAGAGTACTCTGATGATATAGTCCCGCTTGATGAAGAACCTTACAAAATTTAGAGTCTTCTGTACAGCTTAAGTGGCAGTTTGAGAATATTTCGGATACGTTTCTCGCTACTAGAATGTAAACTGTCGCTCCAAGAGAGGTCTTCGCTGTTGCCTTGTTTAACAAGGGAGTGAAATGTTTGAGCGTATTGACCACTTCAGTTATACAGGAAGTCGAATCATCCCCGCTGAATCAGTGGCCGAAGGAATATGTGCACGAATGTAAAAGGTTGCCTTGGCTTACGCCAAGTATGGTGTCACTGCGATATCCTATTATCTATCAAGTGTCGACTGCGCCACAGTCCTCTCTGTTCTACTCTATGGCTGTGAAACATGGCCGCTAAAGTTTGAGGACATGAACAGTCTGCTGTTGTTCGACCACCGTTTGCTTTGTAGCATAGGTGGTGTGTCGTGGTGTCACCATGTGAGTAAAGTCAGGTGGGGAGTTTTGAGAAGAGTAGAGTCAGTTGGTGAGGGAGGTTATGAACCTCCATGAGATGACATGTTTCGCGCATGCTTAACCACCGTCTGTCTCATCGCACGATAATGGCTGAAGTGGGTTTAGGCTGTAGAAAGGTTCGAGGGAGTTAGGATAAAACATAGCATCAGTACAAAAATTCTTTGATCGGTGGTCTGAGCCATGTGAAGGAAATATAAACTTACCTGTCGGGGTTCGGGCCATAACAAAACTAGTGTTTGGAGATATGACTGGGAATCAATATCAGTAGTACAGAAGCATTCATGCATTATCTTCATCTGAATCATTATAATGAATTTCACTACTCTCTTGTTCCTCCTTGTCCTCTTTTCATAACTTTTGATTGCGTTCTTCATTACGCATTTATGACAGTTTGGACCTTTATGCCATGATACGTTAATGATGAACCTCATTCGATTCTATCGTCTACGTACAGAAAGCGCTCTCACACTGTGGTTGATTTATCTTGCTTCACAAGATCTGGTGAACTGGTAGATGCACTTGGAGGTGGCTAGATCATATGCTTGTTGAAATTATAAACACTGAACTGATACGGACATATCGTGTCATATATAACACTGCATCGTTAGACGGTAGGTACAATGAACATTGCCAGTGTCTAACTCTTACTCCTGCGTTATTTACTGTATTGGGTTCGTTTATTGATTATAGCACACAGTGATATTGTTCAGTTTTCATAGGATGATGCTTTTGGCACAACCATGATTAAATTATATCAAGCTAAGCATACAAGTTTCAGCAGTTGTTTCTTCGTATTTCACTTAGTGGTTTTTGAAGATTGACTTATTTTAAAGTAAAATTATTTGTGTACTGTCAATAATTGGAGAAATGTTGAATACTATTGATATAATAATGCAAAAATAATTATGCTAAGAAAAATCCCTCGTTAAGTTATTTTGTTTCTTTATATATTGCATCAGTTAAACTAATCTAAAATGAATGCTTCTCATTTTTAGTGTCCTATTTATATTCTTACATTAAATTATATAACTAGTTTTTGAGAAAATGAAATTTTAAGGCTGTAACAGACCTATCCTCTAGTATGGTTTGAGTTTTTCACCAACTGTTGGTTATCTACACAAGAATTGATCGCTCCATTTCATGAAATATCACGGTAGAAATTTATCAGCTAGCATTTCTAGTGCTCTGCGTTTTGTATTTCATGAATAAGTTCATAATAGAATGTCGGTCTCTTAGAAATTAGGACATATCAGTGAGGGTGAGTGCCAAGGTTTCAGAAAATACTGACAATACTTTTATTCTTCCCTACACAGGTGATATGATAAAGATTCTTAGCAAAAAAGTGTAGTTACTTAATTGTGTTATGGTGTTTTCTGGTTTATACTTTAAATGGATATGCGTTATCTAAGTGTTCTGCTATATTTGTAAATGACAATTCATTGAATGCAAAGCCCTTGCAAGGTCTAATTAAGAGCGTAGTGGATTTCATACTGCGAAAATTGTCCTCTCCTGTCGAACATGTTTATCTCCTCATCTTCAGTAAGTATATAGTATACTGTGTCTGTGTAGCAATCAAATCGTATTGCATCTACTAAATTGTTGTTTCATAACCCCGGAATTAAGATGTTATGTAAACTCGAAGTATCTGTCACAGTGAACACTAATTTAATTAATTGTTAGCACTCGACAACCAAAGAATGTTTCATTCACTTTAAATATGTGTAAGAAATGAACAGTCGGTAATGAAAATCATCATAAGATTTTTATCAATAATGAGCACTCATTTT